TAAATGACGCAAGTTGGTAAAAGCTAGTCAAGCCTTCTGTATTCGTGCTGAGATTTCGTCACACACCAGACCACAACGGCTGATGAGACGTCCAAGATAAGTGAAGCGATCGACACACTCAACTACTTCACTTCCTATCATTAGTTCGGGTGTCAATGCAACCCAATCCTGAAGCAACATTTTGCATTTCGAGGGGGAGAATCGCATTCCGAACATACTTGCATTGTTGCTTAGAGTGGTCAGAAGACTGCATTTTGTCAGCCTCTTCACCAAATAAAACTATGTCATCGGCATATTCTAAGTCAACAAGTGAACCTCCCGGTAGAAGTTCAACCCCTGGAAATCTAGACGAGGAAAATGTTATCTTTTAAAGTACGTCGACGACAAAGTTGAACAAGAATGGAGAGAGTGGACAGCCCTGACGAACACCACTTGAGGAAATCAATTCTGACGACAGTTCGCCATAACCTCTCACTCGACCAGTTGTGTTCGAGTAGAGAGCCTTTACAAGGTTAATGTACTTCTTTGGTACTCCTTTCAGTGACAAACACTGCCATAGAACCTTACGATCTACAGATTCGAATGCCGCCTTAAGGTCGAGAAATACTACGATTGTGGGGCGTCTGAATGTGTGTCTGTGTTCTAGAACCTGACGTAGTGTGAATATGTGGTCTATACAACCACGTCCAGGTCGAAAACCAGCCTGATTTTCTCTAGTCTGTTGTTCACGAGCTTTGATTAGGCGTTGAGGAATTATCGAGGCTAATATTTTAGAAACTGTATTAGTCAAACTGATTCCTCTGTGATTGTCACAAGAGTACTTTTGTCCTTTCTTATAGACTGGCACAATCAGTGATTGAGACCAGTCAGATGGGATTACGTCCAATTCCCAAATTCTACCTAAGACCTCAGTCAATCTCACTGCTAATACTGGACCAGCATCCTCAAAAATCTCAGGAGTAAAACTGTCAGGGCCTGCTGCTCTCCCTCGTTTCAGATTTCCTATGGCTTTTTCAACTTCGTCAAGGGACGGAGGACTTACATTAACTTGCCATTCAGGTTGACTAGAGATCGTGGGAAACCGAAGTGTGGCTGAAGGCCAGTTGAACTGATCCCTAAAATGTTATGCCCATCGATCCAGTCTCCTGGATGACATTTTGGTTGTTCTCAGTCATTTGCGACTGATAATGAGGCAACCACTCAATGATATTGTGGCTGTCCCCCCATGTTTGCTGCTTCTTAAACTAGTGTTTTCTATTTTATGTTAGTTTTGTTATCATGCCAATTTATTTGTCCACAACCAATTTCAAACGCTTAAGCACAGACATGAGAGTTGTCATTCGATAACAACAATAAAAAGAGTAATATATGAATAAAGGCCATGGTGATAAATCTATATATAAATTCAAATAGTTTACGTTACTATTAATTTTTCGGAATCAGTAAACATTTACCCACACTTTGCTCTTCAGTCTTCCGTTAACTAAGGCCAGTTTCCTCGTTAGAGGTTTTCACACACTGCTTTCGTATACCTTATCTGAAGTTGCCGACTCTGCGTCTGGCTGGAAAAACATTGAGAGGTGGTCAGTTTATGACATTGTTTCGTGGTATTAAAGAAAGCTGTGCAAGACTGACATCTGTTGGTCCTTCATGACTTTCTGGTTAAGCTTCAAGGGATGATGCAACACAGTGACTAGAGACGTTATCAGACATGGGTTGGAATACTATTACAGTTATGATTAGATTTATTCAGTATTATATTTTGGGTGCAATACAGAATTCTCATCACAAAATATTTCAGCGAGTTTCTGTTTCTTATTTCTTGGTCGATATTGATGATAAATATTGGGCGATCTCCAGTTAGATGTTAGCATTTCAAAAATTGACATGTTGCCAGCAATCACGATGTCTCCGGTTGCACATTTTTTTAACTGAGTAGGTCATATAATTAATTGACATAATGATCTGTTAAAACAAACAAGAAAACATATGACTTGTTGAAATATCTAGACGGCAGGAAAAGGTATTCCAGATATTCAAACAGGCCATCAGTTGTGATCTTGGTGTAATTTTTTTGAAATTTCTTCATGAAAGTGACAGGAACCTCGTCGAGACGATAATTTATGAACGATCTGTGAGCGGTTCAGTGGCGACCTTTGGAAAACTCACTAACTTACTAGGGTCTAAAGATGAGTACATATAAAAGTGGGTAATGCGAGGTTACGAATGAGAATTAGAGTTAAGGAATAATGCTAACATACCATTTAGTTATGTGGATGGGTGAATTTGATTAGCTCGTCCATAAATTATAGTCACGCCATTATTCTTCACTTTCATACTCCAATTTATTTTTGTTACTTTTCACTACACTCACCTTTATTTCTTTATGTCTTCATTTTTATTGTGTGGGAGATATACATCTTAATGTTCCTTTGATTCAATGCTAATGTGTTTACAGGAATAAATAAATAAAGTATAGAAAAATCTCTTCACGTCTCTTAATTTTCCATATGCCACTTCAACACAATAAATGTATTACTGAAGTATTCCTATCACAACCAATGCAATTCGAAGAATACTATATATATAATGAAATTGAGGATATCACTATCTATAAACTATTAGCTACAATAGCCGGAAATAACTTTTTAAATTGTAGAGTACTGTTGATGGCCAGTAAAACTAACCTATATGAATTATAATGAACAAGTACCAGACAGTGACAGTTAATGAGTAGTTTTTAAACTTTTATCATCATTAAAGAGAAATCTCCATGACGAACGTTTATGGAACACGGATCTATGTGTGCAGTATACTCATCATAACTCAAAATTTTCCAAATAACATTTTAATCTTAAAATCAACATATTGAGTAGTACTTAAAACATTTATCAGTCATCTTGACTAAATCCTATTACCCGTTTTATACAAACTTTTTGAAATCCTCCTGAGTATTATGATATTTCATAATTACTATATATAAATCGAATTGCCTGAATTTTTTTATTATTCTTTAGATGTAAATATACATATTATAGTTTATTAGAGTAAAACTAAATAAATAATTAAGAAAGATAATGCTTGTTGACATTTGTTGTTCTTTTTTTATAGACTTTTTTGAGTAAGATTCATATTGCCAAGAGTACAGATATTTGAAATATTATAAATAAAACCATAACATGTTTAGTGAATACAACCGTAGCCTCGTTGGTGATAATATTATAGTATTAATTTATGTAGAACTCAAACCCTCCGTAATATGGATTAACATTTGGAACTTTTGATATCTGCAAACAAATGCACTAAATGTGGCTGTTCCCAAGAAGTTGGTGACACATATAATATTTAAGATAATGACTTCTTTTTAGTTATCATGATTAACTTACACAGATTAATTTTTGGCGTAATGAAAATACGAACTATCATTATTGCTTTAATTTCTTTTAAAAACGTTTTATTAAAAATTGATAATGAAAACGGTCCTTTCTTACGGATGTAATGATTTATGAAAACTGAGTCATTAAAGACCATGAAGAAATGGATATCACTTCAATAAATAAAAAACAAAGGAACTAAATTGGCTAAATGAGTCTAAAATATGCTGACCAACTGATGTCAATGAGAAACTCAAAGTAACAGTTTTGGTCCAGAGATTAAGCAATCACTGAGAGGCTCAAGGCCCTGGTTTAGATCTTCTGTGGGGTCTAGGATACTTGCATGAAACAGTTATCCAGTGATTCATGATTTTCAGTATCTGTCTGACTATGATCGGTTCATCATCTAAACTATGAAAGATGTACAGTCACTTCTTTCAGCGTTTTATATTTCATTGTAAATCAAAATGTAACAGAATTAAGAAAAGAAGCGGTTTACGGGTTTACAGGTTTTTGTTGATAGGCAGTTTTAGTCATGATGTGGTATTAGTTGAGGAACAAATAAAAGTCATAAAACACTGGGTAAGACCATCGTTTTAGCCATGAATTTAAAGTCTTAAGGCGAGTGAATCACGTTCAGATTACTGGATTGAGATGCCGCTGTTTAAATTTCAAACTACTTCAATCTGTATCAATAGACAACAGGCTAGTGAGAAACTAACTCAGTTTATTTGGCTAAATAACAGCTTAAACTACTTTATGGGGTTATTCATACTGCGTAGTAGTATTAATATGAATAAAAGTATGTAGTAGCAGAAATTACACCTCACTAACTGATAATTCAGGTTGTTGATTATTAATGTTGCTACATTCTCGTAGTAATGATGAGAACTACTTTTGTCCTGTATTGAAAACGTTTGGCATAATTTACTTAACTGTTTAGGTTGATGATAATTGTAATAAGTTCAGTACCTTTAGTTAGTGCTTTTAAACTGCAACATGAATTGACTTGTTATATGTTCTTTTTCTTTTGTCGAAATGAATGCATTCACAAATGGCTTTCGTAGTCTTAAATGTCTTTCGAAAATCTGAGAAGTAATTCGTCAGCTTAATTATTGATAATCCTTGAGGAGTGACTCTAAAATTTTGAGTATACCGTTTGGCTGATATTTCATATATGATGTTTTTAAGATGCAATATATACATACTTTTAAGTAGTACCACAATAGGCTATAACAGCCTCTTGTTTCATACATGAAAAACAAAGATCTTTAGCACTATGTGGGCTTTTAAATAAACATGAAACTGTTTAAAGGCGTATAACGTTATAAATAAAGTTATTGATTGAGTATGTAGACTACTGCATAGGACTGTTTCTTATGTACACAAAAATTTATGAAATCATCTGATATACCACTAGTACACCTATGTTGTGTAAAACCTGACTGTTGAGCATACTTATTTAATCTCGAAAGTTGCTTCGTTAACAAGCATAATGATTAAAGGTCAGTTTATTTTTATTTATATAAAAGTATAATTTAGGCTTATATGTTTTTAATTCGATAAATGGAATAGTACGAATTTTTCGGTTTAATTGAAAACGAATAACTTGTCACATTTTGTTTAATGGATATCGACCGTTTTATTAAAATAATTATTCTAATATGTTCTGTACAGTTCGACTTGATAAGTTGTGAGCTTGGTAGATATGAATATGAACTGACTTGCACAGAAGATTATTCAGAATATTTACATTATGGAGGTGATGTTTTATTAGGTGGTTTGTTCCCAATCCATCAACGTCGGGTAATTGATAAAGGAATATTACAGAAGCCTCAACTAACCGCAAACGGATATAAGGTGAGAGTAATCATTTTATTAGTCAGGACAATGTCGTCATCATATTTTTCCAAACATTCTGTTTACTTGAAGTGACTGGATGAAAAGTTAAAAAAATCTGAAGGAACTTGATGTGATTATTGTTAATTACATTGTCTAACATCTATCAGTGATACGAATATGTACACTTGTTTACTTACTTATGCCTATTACTTCTCATGGAGGAGCATAGGCCGCCAACCAGGGATGTGTGCAACTTTATTGTATATCGACACTGAATACAGAATCCATGGAATGAATCGAAACATGTTTGTACATAATATCTTTCACGAAGTGATCTCGACTGAGGTATCATTGAAAACCAGAAAGGACCAAATCGCTGCTTCATCATAGTATGAGATTCCACAGCAGTGACCACCCACGAACTCATTAAAAAATTGAACCCAAGATCTTCATTTCCCGTAGCAAATAACTAAATTTAAGGAAACCAGTTCATCACGTTTATTGCCTAAGGACATTATTTCTTGGACTTTTAAAGTATAATGTTTTACACCAATATGTAATCAACAAAGGCTTCTATGGGACATAATTTAGATATACATTACAAAATTCAGTACTACTACCTGTAACATTAGTGATAACGTAATATCATCATATAAATGTTCAATGTTTTATAAAACTAGTCTCGTTTGGGTAAATTAAGTGATAAATAAACTTTCATTTTGTTTTAAAAGCTTTTAGAGGCAATGCTTTATGCAATCGATAGCATCAATTCACGTGAAAATTACTTAAACTTTTCACTGGGAGCTTTAATTTTTGATACATGTGAAAATCCAGACAACGCTTTTATGCAATCACTACGTTTTATTGTTGTAAGTTGGTTTACCTTGCTTATATTCGTTGCAATTTACAAATCTTTGAAAAAATTACTAGAATAACTTGAATGTGAGAAACACCGAAACCTAAACATCCCACTGACTGTCATCTATGGTATAGATCAAATAAAATGATGCACTGAATTCTCAACCTATTCGAAGTCCTCATATCCTACCATGTTAACGATACAAATGATATAACGGATTTTTCGAAATACTTTTCTCTCTCTCAGGTATACCGTAATAAAACGGCAATACATTTATGAAATTAGTCACGTTATATGAGTTTCAGGACTCACGACCTAGAAAAAAGAAACAGATTAATACCAGATAGTACTTTATTGCATACAACTAAAGGCAGTTACTGGTATTGAGTTCGTAGTAGAAATTAGTGAGAAGAAAGGAAATCACATTTTTAGCAGTTCGAAAGCTAAGTGCCTGTATGTCCACGCTCAGTAACCAACCATATTTTAGTTTCACTTCCCAGATATCAACATTTGTACAGTGTATATCGTCTATGCAGTTTTACGAAATATGTATGTTATGCTATTAATGAACTTAAATATCTATAACAAAGGGGCTATGGTAAACCAATCAAATTCACTGGATTACTTGCTTTAACAAATGGTCTTCTGTAGGATCGAGAGATATTTGCAGGCAAGTGACACCCCCGATAGCTCAACGGTAAAGTTTCTTACTGTGAATTTGAGTGACATAAGATCGAACCGCATAGCAAGCATCGGTTCCCTCAAGGTTATAGGTAAACCTTGCCAACGAGTGCCAAATAGCACGGAACCTAGGTCCAGAGTTTCCTGTTGAAAACCTATAACCATCACCTTGAAGTATATTACTGTAATAACGTTAGCGGGTGACTGACTCTGTTTTATCAAACGATAGGAAAACATTTATAAAAGATTGTTTACTATTTTATTGAGGTTATACTAAGATAGCCATTTTTCCTGCTAATTTTCGCTTGTGTCAAAACTTGTTATCAATGAAAAGGAGATATGTTTTCAATCAAAATTACAGAAAAGAGTAATTGTGCTTTGTGTACAGACCGTGTTTGTTTTGTATCATATTTTTGAATAGATACATAGTTGTTATTACCAATATATGTTGGGATTCTATTGTTTATTTACTATTTTTTAATAGTATGATGATCCGTTGGGGAATGACACCAAGAAGACTGCTTTCGAAGAACAGTACAATCACAGATCTACGGAAACTTATGTCACAGCTGTCGTTGGTGCTTTACAAAGTGATGTATCCATTAGCGTGGCAAATATGTTGAAATTTCTAGATATACCACAGGTAGGTGTAAACGTCTATTAAAAGTTTTACAATAAATACTCGAACTGAAGGGATAGACACTACTTTACAAACTTTAAGATAAACCACTATTATCCCTCTTAAAAGAGTACGCATTTCTCTTGCTTCGTCCGGTTTCGAGTTGAACATATAAAGATTGCCGAAAGTTTTCAAAAATTATCTCAAACTGCCTTATCCTTCAACATCTCTCTCAATTAGAATCATATTCATATATGATTTTCTAGAATTTAGTTAATCAGAAATCATCTAGAGAGTAAGCCGGCCTAGATACAAAGAATTACACTTATCCTATTTGTCTAATCAACACAAGAAATCAAAAGTCTTTTTGACCTAGCGTCCTCCGTAAGCTCTACAAGAAATTTTGATCCTCTTGGAAAAGCTGCGTTTCTTCGACGGGAGGATGTCCATGGGCAGCCTTCCAAATTTCATAGATTTGAAGAGCGATTTTTGTAAGTCCCACAGAAAACCTCGTTAACTTGTTTTGTGCAAATGTAAGGGCTGGAATTATTGTACATGTACTTACATGCAAGTATTTTCAGTCTAAGTGGATTTCATATGTGATCATTAAGTTGTCTGCTGAAGACTGGATGTCTGGTGGTGAATGCAAAAGTTTCAGATTTCATTGTTTAGGGATTCAGAGATATCAATTTTTTTCTGATATTACTGCGATTTATCAGATTGTAATGTCGAGCAATCTAGAGGAAAGCTATGCTTTCTGTAGAACACTAATCTGTAAATGTTATAACTTGTCGTTTAAATGCTTATTGTCTTGGCTCTTTGGATGCTATATTTGTATCTGGTGGTCACTGATTCTTATGTCGGAAACGCTTATCACTTATACTCGGGACGAGGGAAATCTGCAATTCCCTCGACGCGAAAGTAAGAACGCAAAGACTGGTATAAGTGATGATTTATTAACCCCAAAACATGACGACGACGACAACTAGTGGAAAACACACTCATTTATATATATTGATTTTACACCCATTTTGATTAATCATTAGAATGTAATCACATATATGAAAAATACTTAGAGTTATAACAAATCACATACTGAGTATAGTTTATGTTAATGGAATACAAGAATATCGCATATTATACAGAATAAAATATCATACGAGAAAAGAAAACCAAATACTACATTGAGTCATCATTACATTGAATCAAAACGGAAGTCATCTTGAACAAAATTCATGATGAGTAAATCAATCGAATTTTAACTTTACTTTTCATCATATCTGTAAAGGTGCGGTCCTGATATAGCACCTCTGTTACAATTAAGTTTGTTCACTGTCAATTTTGTCTAGTCCTTTTATTAACTTATTTAACAGATAGTGTTATTAAAATGGTATCAATTTGTTTATTTTTTGTATTATTATTGTTACTATCATGTTTGTATAAACATCCATGCTTGATAACATATGACAGCCTAAACACATATTCCTCACTCCACCTTAGATGTTGGTTGCTTAAATATCGCTCGATGAATTATTATAATATATATATATATATATATATATATATATATATATATTTGATCTCATCAATTGATTCAATTTGATTTAACTCTGAATCCGCTTCTGCATTCGCTTGCTGGCGAGCATTAGCCTTTCTGCTCAAATTCACTCGGTGTGCTTGTAACTTTGCTATCTGCGCTATCCAGTAATAAACTGTAGTTGGAGCTTCGTGTTGCCTACTGAATTCATACACAGTTAAGATTTAATTAATAATGGTTATCAGGATGATTGATACATGGAGCCTAGGGAATTATCTCGAAGCCTAAGTCACTACATTATAAAGCTTTGAATATCCCCTCTAAAAATACTAATAGTACTATTTTATGATTTTTAATTCCAGATCAGCTATATGTCTGCTTCATCACAATTAGATGATGCAGATAAATATACGTATTTTATGAGGACAGTTCCCAGTATTAGTATGACAACTGATGTGATTATTGGCTTGTTGAGGTGAGTATTAATGTTTAGATTTCGTTGATTTATCAGTGAATAAAAACCAAATGTAAATATAATGTATATTTAATCAATGATATATAAAGTAGGGCTTCAAACAAATTATCATCTACTAAAATTACTACAACTCACTTCAAAAGCAGTACAGTTAAACATTGGAAATATTGTTTAAAAAGGATCAATTGGACTAAGAATCATGATTAAGGAAATACTAATCTTATAATTTGGAGAAAAATAGATAATGAGCTTATTGCTCTACTGAAATCGATTTTAACCGTATCAGTTAAGATAAAAAGCCATGAGCAACAATAATTTTTGAAACCCGAAGTAAGAATTCTTGGTTTTCAAATGCTGTTAATAATTTCGTGGACTATTTCTTGCTTCATGCACCACCATGAACATTTTTCCAGCCTTCGCCTATCGTATAAATCATAACACATTAAGATAAATTATGGGATTATTAAGTGATCATACTGTAAATCTTAGCTAATACGCGTATAACAAACTGTATGCAATACTAGATTTATGTTAAACATGATTATTCGAACGATACTAATCCGTATGTTCGAAGTCTTATTAGATATAAATTATATTAAACAGAGGAATGACTTATCGTAGGGAACGTTGTTACGGTTTCAGGTTTACCTTGCCACACAATTCGATGTGTTGGTTTTTGTCTCCTGCTTACTCTGTACATAAATTAAGCACTAAAGTTATGTTAACTAATTAAAGAAAATTACTTCATACCTGATTATCTAAAATAATCATAAAATGAGTTAGTTTTATTTGAAACCAAGTAAAACAGTTCATTAAAACCATTTGAGACTTTGATCAAAAGAATCGATTATTTTGAGTTAGAATATAACAACACAATGTCAAAGTATAGTGCATTCTATTTTCATTTACTAAAGTAATGTTTGGTAAGATTCAATAATATCGTGAATATATTGCACACAGAGTTATGGTATGTGAATAAAGTAAAAAAAGAACCAAAATCTAAAACCGTTTGATTGTGAAATTCTACTCCTTTTCAGAATAAGTTAAATAATACATTATTCAGTACACACCTTAATATATCATAACGTTTAATTATTCAGACGTCTTAAGATGGGAAGACTAAGTTGTCTGGTTAGATTGCGGTGTTACAACAAAGTGAAGTTAGTTTTCATGATAAAATAACCAGTCGGAGAACTATTGAAACTTAGGTGTATTGAGTAGTTGTCCTGGCTGAGTTTTGAATTGTTTAGCGGTATACAACCAGAAATTGTTAAGTTTCATGGGGGACATGGTACATGTAGAGAGTAAAGTTAAAATCTAGTAGTTCACGTTTGTCTGTTCACCTGCTACGGTTATAAAACCACAATTTGCTTAGGCGAATAAGAGCATATATGCGAAGTTTGTTTTATAAATATTTGATTGATTGCTTGATTTTGGTAAATTAACATAAACATGGTGACATCTATTTTCTAACTAAATTACTACTTGTATCTATCTTGTTATTGTCAAAAGTACGATTTTCTTCTTTTTGAATGAAGAAAAATCATCAGTAAAGTCATATAGATAATCTGTTTTTAATGAGCATACACTTAGTAAATATACTAAGTTCCCTTTTTTTCCATAAAAATGCGAAACCGCAATTTACATAGGAAGTATCACTGGTTTTATGTAAATGTTGTACTGGACAGTTCGGAGCATGGTGAATCTAATTATGGTGTTTTTATGGAGAAATTAAACAAATTCAGTCAAATTATATGTGTAGCTAAAGATGTCCGACTGATCACCTATCCTTTAGATGCTAACGATATTGGTAAAAGATTGAAAACGTTATTGGATTCTCCAGCTTCAGGTAGGTGAAATGACTATATAGCACTAAGGGTATTTTCAAACTTGAACACTTCATTTACGTATATAATCTCTTAAATGAAACGGGCAGATAAATGGTATCTAATAAAATAGAAAAACTGAGATGGAAATGACATTAGGAAGTAAAGACATTATTATTTTTTGAACCTGATTCTTTTCTTTAGTTTACAGTATACCTATACTTAATATTTAATGTCATGTTTGAGCTACGGATTTACTCTCAACTTGATTGACTCCATAGCTCATAACGTTAAAACATCTATCTTAAATCATATCCCTAGTAAAAATGCATTGGTTTAATTCACTGCTACTGGATTTTTGGTAATTTTTTAACTGATTTCTATAAAACCACTTTAGTTATAAAATTTGACACGTGACCCATTAATTAGAGTTAAACCAGAAACATTCAGGGAACTCCAGCCATGATTTGGTAACTAGATCTCTTGTTACAAAATGAGATAGTACAAGTGTCTTAAAAACCATCTGAAAATACATGGTGTTCAGTGAATTTTATAGAAGTGAATCACCGATTTCTCAGCAAAATGCATAATTTGCCTTGGATAATAATAAGTGTTCATCCGTCAAATTCTACTCAGCAGATATCAAAGATTTAAGTTAGATGATTAGTAAAAAGTAATGCTAAAAAACTGAGTTATAAATCTTTGTTTTACCATGCCACAGTTATTTTACTGATGTACATCGAACGGAGATTAGAAAATGATGATAATGATGATGATCTGAAATATTAAACAATATACAGTTAAAAGTTTTATGCGAATTAATTATATATAGTCTACTTACATATCAGAAAATGTAACAAGAAATTCAAGTTTTGGTGGAGATGAAATGACAAATCATATTTTTTTATTACATAGGTTGATACCAGTACATTTGTCCCATGATAACAAAGTTTTCGTAGATTATCTTAAGTAGATGAAATATTAGTAAGGGTTTATAATTTACTATTTTTGATATTTAGGACTGCGTTTGATCAGTCTGAGATGACTAGTGTGGATCCTGAACAGGTTTCTGTGATATAGTATTTCGTTTAAGATCCTCACATATTTTTGATAGCGGCTAACATTTCAATTCAGGATGCCCAATGAAATGTCATTGTAAACATCAATACCAGATTGAAGCCATGTAAATCTGACGAGTCAAAAATTGAACCAAATACACATTTTGAATGTCATTGCTAGTCCTAATCTGTGAAATACTATACAAGAGCTATGAACTCTTACTTTTGAGTGTAACGATGCTGATATAGAAAGCAACTTAATATCAAAATAGCTCACAGTCAATAAGCATGATTCATGAAATTACCAAAAAGCGATTAAGAAAGTACACTAATATCACTACGAAGGTATGTGACTTTGATAGGACTAGCATTAAAGTTGTATACCATTAAAAATATTAGAGATTATTAATTGTCAGAAATATTTATTTAATGGCATTCGAATACTGAATTTGATCATATGAATAAAGACAGGGAAAATAACATTAGAATAATTAATATTTGAAATAGTGTGAGCCATTATTACATTGCATTCAAAATGTGAATTTGGTGTATAGAATACATAATAATTACAAGGTTTAGAAGCTGACAAGTACTTCTTAGCACCTTGTATTTTACTCATTTTCTTGAATTTCTTTAAATTGTTTTCTTCTTTTAGTGCTATATAAGTAAACACTAGTTTATAATGATTTTTAGAGTAATGTTAAATCAGTTAATACTGATGTCAGTTATCTTAAATTTTCTGAAAAAGAAATGACTGAATTTGTTAAAGTTAATTGGCATAGATCACTTCATATTTAATTCACAATGATCGAGTCTTACAAATCGTTGACCAACAGATAGATGTATATTTTCTTTTATTATTTCTCAATAATACAAAAATCACAATGAATTGCTATACTTTCATGCTATTACAAAGATGTATTTTAGCTTATTATTTATATCGATTAAATTTTGTATACTTCAAATGATCCTTTTAACATTATTATCAGTTAATATCATGTTAGTAACATCATATACTGCAAGTCTGGCCGTTAGTGAGCTTCTTAAATGGAATCAATCGGATCTTGATCGATTTCTTTGGATTGGTACAAATGGTCTTATCTCAACTTTCAGAGAATTATATCTAACTGAAGATTTAGATCCAGTGTATGCAAAGCATTTCCATGGATTTAAAAAGTTTATCTTAGTTCTACCACATTTAACGGAAGAGAAGAATATGAAAAACTATTCAATTAAGTATGTAATGTGAATAGTACTTTATAGAGAAATTAAAGATCCTTTTTACATAAAAGTAACTTTAAACTCAAATGTTACTTAAGATTATGTTTTAAAAGTTGTCATTCTTATTTCCAGTGGTTGTACTTATCATTCCCCTTTTCTAGATTATCCACAAATGACTAAAAATAGATGTCAAGATATGACAGAATAGTGTTATATGTTTATCTTTCAATCTTTGAATGTATTTAGTGTTCGTTTTACTTTTTAACCATCTTGCCCTGTAGATCGAGACTAACGCTAAATAAGTTTTGTTAATATTAAGATCTGAAAGCTCAATTGTTTAGAATATGTTGTTTGATTTCTTGAAAAGATTAGTTTGTGAGTTAATAAAGATCAGGGTTTATACGAGTGAATATATACGAATGAGTTGTCATTTTCCCATCTACTTCGAAGGTTTTTATTTTTTTAAATTTATTGAATTTGTTCCTTGTGATAATATCAAATGATTAGGAAGTAGTGTGTAATAATTTCTATAGCATTTCCGTTATCAAATAAAACCAGAAAACTGCCTCACTCCCAAATAAATTCAGCTTATTTGAAGTGATAAATTTTTATTCCAGTTAGCAAAATCATTATCAATGGCTTATGGTTAAGTATGTAAAATGATTTAAAGAAAATACGAATTCGAAATGGTTCAAAGAATAGTACTTAGTTCATCAAGAGAAAGGAAGTCATTAATTGAATTTAATAAATATATGGACATAAGAAATAGTTGAAACAACAAATTCAGATATAAATACATAGACTGAATTACTAAAATGGACATAGTATAAGTGTGTGTCATTACCTTCAAGTTATTTCTTTCCAAGAGTAAACCAGTCAGTGTGTCTTTAAATGAATCTATTGAATGGATGCTTCTTTATCAAATGTGCTAGTACCTTGATTAAATGTAGGGCAAGCAAGACTTACTGGCGGAGCTCGATTACCGAAAAATAACAGTCACTTTAGTTGTGAAAACTAAATGTCAAGGTATAAACACTTAAATAAGGAACTATTAAATTAGTGTGTGTAATAATTTCAATAGGTTAATAGATAGCTCTTTAATTCAAAAGTTACTGGTAATGTGTTTGAGTTTGAATAAAAATGATGTCAATGTGATGGATATATTTCTCTCTGACAACATGAATGAAACAGTTACTCTAAGTCACACTGTTGGCCACTGTGAAAATGATATGAGATAATGTTTTATATTTTGACATGATGTTAAAGATTATGAAATAGTATCTAAAGTATGAATGTAGAGAAGACCATTTGATGAGTGCAAAATGATAGTATGGATATGTTTCTATAACGATTCAAGTGGAATTAGCTGAAATATACTACTGTTTGGTCAGTAATTAAACCCTTATTAATCCTATCATTTTTAGTTAGTATTACTGAAATGTATTAAAATGTTTGCAAGCTAGTTGAATGGTACAATTGTTACAAGCCGCATAAATAAAGTAATTGGATCAGAAAAATCGGTATTTTGGTTACCTGAATACATAGTAATCAGATCACATAATTAACAGAAAAGTGTAAATTATTTAAACTGTAGCGTGAGTTTGTAACGTGGTTGGTATTAGAAATAACAATACATTTTATTGCTCTGTGATCACCCAAAACTGGTAGTCATGAACGAATTTCATTAACAATTCTTTATCAATGTATGAGTTGGTGTTCATTATTATAATTGCCTTTGTTGGATTGGCCACAGTACATAATAGCAGTACTTAAATATTTTAGTTTATTTATCCCTGTTCGAATGGTTTTTCGAGCTGTTTCCAAATTAACTAATTTGTAATTAATTAGTTTGTAATAATTCTTTAAAAATATAGCTTAAAAAGGACATTTAATTTAACGAGCTGGACAAAATCTTACTTAATGGAATTTTGTGGCTGCTTACCAAACGTGATTGATTCAAATAATTTTACTGGTCAACTTTGTAATGCCAAAGATGAACATGAATGCTTATCATATCTTTATAGAGGTATGTTTCTGAAGAACTTGTAGAGGAGATTTATTCTATGATAAACAGAACTGAACACTGAAAACTTGACATACTCCCAATATTTAATCAATAGATATCGATTGACCTATAATTAAATCAGTTAGGACTTGAATATTCAATGAGAATGATAACCAGTGTCCTCGGAGAGCCTTCGTCATTACCAATAAACCACTGGCCAAGGAATAAGTTTTATGTTACACAAGCTGAATAAAAAGTTGATCCAATATATCGATTTTATTTATTAAGTGATTAATTTTATCTACTACATGACTTTAGATGGAGTTTTTGGCTTAAAATATGACAACGTATCACTCAGTTTATTTTGTTCGAAGAAATCTGTTGGATTAGGCTGAATACAATTAATTCCAACGTGAACAAAGATTTCTCCAGAGTTCTCATTGAGGTTCTTATCCTACTACACCGAAATGCAGTGATAATAATAAAATTCTACTAGTCATTCTATTTTCAAAATATCGGCTAAAATATTTCTGTTTTTCAGAGAAGTAGGAAAACAACCAAATATTCCTTAAAAATATTTTTATTAGGTGTTGCTTATTTTATAAATTAACTGATTCAATTTAAAGATTGATAATACACACCATAAAGGGAGTTGAGCACGAAATCTCCTAGCCGTACTCATTTCATCAACAAATATTCGATTTATCACTGCTTGATTCCCTTGTTACTTGACTTTTCTTTCATATGAAGATTCAATTTATTACGTACCTCAAGTAGTCAACTCTGTGTATGCAATAGCAAATGCATTAAAAGAAGTATTTACGCAGTATCCGATGTTGAAATGGCATCATAAATCCCGTGATAAAACGAGAAGGTTGCTTCTAAGTAAATTACAAAAATGTCAATTTGAAGGTAAACAATTTGAGTAAATAATATCATTGAGGAATTTATTTAATATACTTTATTTTCAACGGTAATTATTAGACTTCAATTAAAGTATGGCTATTTTAATCTAGATTTATATGGAATATATGGTTTTTATTTTCAATTTGCCCATATTTCTGTTAATTATCATAACAGATATATGGTAGTAAATCATATAAGCACCTTTAGTTAATCTAATTATATGTCAACAAATGAGATTTTAACGAAAGATACCTTAACTTAATCAATCAGCTTCAGGAAGAAACAATAGACAAAGATTAATTGAAGATCCTCTACAAATCAAGTAACAATAGACTTGTGCAATCACTATTCTATACAAAGACAATCCATGATCGTCGAATTTTGTGTAAAGTTCTGTCACACTAGTTTGTGAAGCAAAGATCCAGTAGTCAGTATCTTCTACTTCAGGTAACTTATAATTTGTCTCAATCTTGATCTTGCATTATTCATGAGTACGGCATCAATCCTGCCTTGATTAACTCGAAAGCTCAGTTTCTAAATGAAACTTTAAGAAGTATCCGTCAATAGTGTTTAGAGATGTTTCTCAGAACTTATTAATTTTGAGTTGTTTTCCAGTTAATGTAAAATATTGATATTGATAATGTCCACCTACTTACTAGGGCTAAATGAGGGTTATAAAACAGTGTGAGGAATTACAATTATGATTTACAGTTGATGGTTAGGGTTTAGAACTAGATTTAGGGTTTTCATCACGAACTGACACCAGCTAAATTTTCAAAACGCTATTCAGCTAAATGAGTGCTTGAATTTCGCGCCCAAATCCGAGACCTTTTATCTTATATTTGATTGGTTCCCCCTAAATTATAGTCTGGCCGATACCTGTTTATAATTATCTATATTTTTGAGTCTGTAAGCCCCAAATGAATTACTTGTTTTATGATATGTGGAAATGAAAACTCATAGACTACTTCTGACTTTCATTTTTATCCTTGTTCAAAAAATGGCTATTATCAGTTTGGTTACATTTATTCATTTCAGTGATTTTATTAACTACTTGTCATGTGAGGACATTTATTGTGCTTTCGCTACTTTACTGTTTGTGAATGATAAGATATAAAGCTCGTCAACTAAAAGATATCCTGTTCGTTAAATAAGTGATGACTATTATTATGAAGTACTCTATTTTGCATAAAAATATAAATACTGAATTCATGGCTAATGAGTTCGAAAGACAGTGATATCATAAACGCTCAAATGCAGGTACATGTAAACGATATGTATCAAGTTTGTCTGAACTTTAGTCACTAATATATAATTAATTCGAAGATTCATTTGATGTGACTATACTTATATGGTAACAAAGGCTGGCCGAAATTTCAAACAATCACAGTAAAACTATCCTTTGAAAAAAACCAGTAAAAGAGCTTCTTACACGTTTTTGAACACTTACAGGTTTTGGCAATGAATTGTTTTCATTCTTCAATAACCGAAATGGTCAACCGAATTTCACAATATTAACTTTTGTGCCAAATACATTTAAATGGAAAGTATTGGCTCAGTATGATGAAACAAGATCTCCGAGTAAGTGACGCCAATTGCAAACAGCATTTTCATTTCTATTTTGAACATAATTAAACTTTCAGTAAAAGAAATTTCTGCCTAGATATTTAGAGAAAAATGTATCAGGGCAAGAAATATTTCATGTTAATTAGCCTTTCACTATATGTGTTTTACAGATAAGACAAACGTCATGGTTTGTTACAATTTCTTTTATTATGACCTAGCTATTCCTTAGTATTAGTCTTGGACACCAATTCACTCGGCAAGCCCCCAAATCAGAACACGTTTGAGCAGGAACGAAATTATATTCCAAATAACAAGAGTAGACGGAATTAGGAGCACTATAAGAGATACGTAAGTATATTATAGTTTTTACATGAGATGATACTAGCCTTCTCAAAGTATCGACTAGCTCTGATTGGACATGAAATAGACAATCAGAGTGCACCAAAACAATCGTGCATGAAACATGTTTTAATCTAATCTATGGGTTGATATGTACTGATATTTTATATCAATGTTGTTTTCGGCTCAGATTCTTTTGAATAAAAAATACTGATTATTGAAGGTAAACATTATGGTAAATGAAGTTTGCATGACATCCAAGTTTTTCAATTAATCAATGGGTGGTGAGGAGAATATTTCACAATAGGTGTGATCAGGTGGTACCAAATATACAGTAAGAATAGAGAGATCATTAAAAATAAGAGTAAGGAAGGATTGAAGAAATGAAAAATACAATACGAATAACATCTGTTTCAATAAATCTTCACTCTAAATTAGTAGCCAAAGTAACAAAAGTGGTTGTCCCAAAGGTACCGACTTGTTTCAATAGTTCAAATATACATGGCGTTAGAAGTACGTAGTAGATATATACCACAACATAAGATAAAAAGGATCGTGTTGAGAAGAAATTTTGGAAGGTTTTTCTCATACATTATTCACTTTATCTATTGCCCGACCATTTATAGCAACTAATCTCGTTTAATCTAATATTCAATGCTCATCTAACACTTTTGCTGAGTTTGTAGTATGGTCACCAGTCAAACTGAGATGACATTACAGTTCACGTTGTATAATATTCAGTGTTTGGAAGCTCGTCAGTAAAAAGGATTATTTACAATATGAATTATTACTTCTGTCTTATTAGATTAAGTGAAAAATTAAGTCCAGTTAGTTGGTTACTTCATTTATCTGCTTTTCTTATAATGTAGACAAAGCAACTTCATTTCTAAATTTAATATAATTACTTCGAGATTCAAAAACAGTTTAATTGATGTAACAAATACTTTCTGAATAACCACATCATGAATAAGAATAAATTATTAAAGTTCGACCTCAGAAGAAGCCTTGTTTCTGCGAATAAGTATTGCTTAGAATCAACAGTATGATTGTTTATGTAATTTCATTCATAGTAGTAAAGAGTGACTATAGAATAATATTGATATAAATATGGATTTCGGAGACGATAATTTATGGACGTCCTTTGAGTGATGCTAGGCTGACCTTGAGAGTATTCACTTAATAACGAGAACCAAATGAGGGTTATAAACCTATGCGACGAATTATAATTATAATTTACAGTTGATGATTAAGGTTAAGAATGAGATTTAGGGTTTTCATCACGAACTGATATCAGCTACAATGCCAAAACTTTATTTATTCAAATAGATGAGTGAATTTCGCGATAAAATTCCAAACCCGTTATCTTATACATGATTGGTTCGTCCATAAATTTATAGTCTCGCTTTTCTGAATTCTAAATGAGCAATAGTGAAAGATATCATTTAATGTACAACACATACTGAAATTAAGTCAACTATGCTTCAAATCACTTGAATGCAGAAATAAGTATCATAATTTTTTAAAGGAAATATTCACTGTCCTGAACACTGACTTCATTTCAGTGAAAATGAAGAACATAAAAGATGAAAACAACAATTATACTCAATATGTCTTTATTATCATTTTTAACTCCAAAATTGATTGGTTTTTTTTAATGTAATTTACTGTTAGGTTTCAATAGCATTAACAATTGAGTTTCTTTTTTGTTTAATATACACTCCTGGTTTAAATATTTAGTCTGATCTCGAAATTCAAAATGTTGTGATCTGATCATTAATGTTTGATCGACCGAAATTAGTTATCACATAAACAGACTTATATGTTTCTTATTTTGAAAAAAAGATTTGTTCATTATTTTTCAAGAAATAAAATGGTTCTTTTATAATTGACAGGGTTCTACTATATCAATGAGAATATTTCATCTTATATTCAAGAAACTATTCCAGAATCTGTATGTTCTAAACCATGTAATGTTGGTCAAATAAAACGTATTGATTGGGGTCGTTCTTGTTGTTGGATTTGTATAAATTGTTCATCTCAACAAATTGTAACTTCAGCAGATTTGAATAAAAATCCTAAAAATATAATGAATAACAATATTACTAATAAAAACAACAGTAATCCAATGGCATCTCCTATGTGTCAATTTTGTAGTCCTGGCTATAGGCCAAATAAAAATCAAACAAAGTGTCAACTATTACCAATAAAATATATGTCAATATATGAAAAAGTTGCACAAAGTTCTGTTGGAATATCATCAGCTGGTTTAATTCTATGTTTCATTGTATCAATTATTTGCATTAAATATTGGCAAACACCAATAATCAAAGCATCTGGTAAAGAAACATCTATTATATTATTTTTAGGCATTATATTATCCTATATATCAGGTGAATTAATTCTTGCATTATCTCCATCATTGTTTATTTGTAATTTTGCGATATTCTCTGTTGGATTTTGTATTACACTTACATATTCAGCTATTTTGGCTAGAAGTTCACGGATCAATTCTATATTTCAAGTAAGAATATTATTAGTCCTTCCTGTCTAATATTAACAAACTAAGCATTATTTGTATAAATTAGTATATTGCAAATGGATATACAGTTAACTAACTTACTTAACTGCTTACACTGAATAAATCTCTTTATTCATCAATTATGACATATACTACTACTTAAAACACTCTAGTTGTTTACTTCATGTCTATGATTTGTTCAGGATAAAAATTCACAAAATTCTAGTTCAATGAATTTGTCTCCAAGTTTTGACATTAACTTAATTAGTGAATAAATAAATGTTTAGCGTAATACTGAAACTGTCATTTTCAGAACTGCTTTGGATAACAGTAGCTTTGAGTAATGAATATGACCAAATTGATCATTACTCCAAAGCTGCCAATTTGAATGAAAAATAACTGAAAATAGCAGTGCTTCATATACCGTTTTATACAATATTTTATTAGCATTTGTTGTCACATGGTGAACAATGATTCCTTAAGTTTGAATATTTATACTTAAGTGAAAGTGTCTACTGTTCACTGAAAGACAAAGATTTATGTATCTCGTTCCAAACAACATCATGGTATTAAACTTTGAAACCTCATAACTTTATTACAAGACTTTTTTGAATGGATTTATTAAACTCAATACGACAATTTAATTACACCATGTTCCTTATAGATACGGTTGAAAATGTACTCTAATGGGCCAACTTAATAACTTTTAAACATAAGCTTTGCATGAAGAACTCGGAAAAATACTGCATCGGTTCTTACAAATCTCATCTATAAAACATACGGTAATCAATTTTACTGAGTTAGAAGAAATATATAACGGAGAAGGTAGACGCATTTCAAGACGAGTCACAGATTCCACTGTCAAATAATTTTGATTATCATGTTACAAACAAAAATGAATTATTCAAAGGAGATAATTAATGCAAACGAATTGACAGAACTATAATTTATAAGCTAACCAATTAGATTTAACATAGTAACTGTTGGATTTTGGCAGACGATTTCATTTACCCATAAAGGTTAATAGTATTCTGACATTGTGACTGATGACAATTTATAATGAAAACTCTTATTCTAATTCCTTACCCTAACTCCTAATTTCTAAGCCTTATGTTAATTCGTTAAACTAATTCATGACCCAATCTTAACTTTAGTAAGTGGTTGAAGTTTTCAATGATCATTTAATATCACTAAACAGCCATCTACAAATTATATAGTTTCACTCACAAATTTCGTACTTAGAAGTTTGAATTCTAACTGCATAAATAGTCACAAATGTTTAAGAGATTTAAATAATCGCACCATGACAAATAGTTTATCTGAGAAATGTGATATTGGATACCCAGGTGGCCTGCTTGAATATCTGGGCTACCTGTTCCTGCCATCAAAATATTTCAACAAGTTATTTGTTTCCTTGACAATTAATTGCATAATCTTTTCAGGTGAGTTTGTGGAAAGTTTACAACTTTTCGTTGTATAAGTTACAAAAATTTACAATCGGAGACATCATGATGGCTGGCAATATGCATTAAAAACAATGAATATTATTCAGACATCGATTTCTGAAATGTTAATATCTAACTGGAGGTCACTCAATATTTATCGTCAATATCGATGAAGAAATAAGAAGCAGAAACTCGCTGAAATACTTTGTGCTGAGAATTTTATATTGCACCAAAAATATAATACTGAATAAAGCTAATAATAATAATCATAAATTATCTACGCTAATTGATTACTGGAGTCATCATGTAAATTAAATTTTACCTAATGGAGAAACAACCAAACTTTGTTTACGCTGGATAGAACGTATTCCCTTTGTTGCAGGATACTGTCAATAAATTATTCATCTGTCCATACACCTCCTGGAACTAAAAGTTATGTCAAATAATACAATTAATTACATGTTGTTCGTAGATTTGAAAGTAAATACACATATGATCTCCATATTCATATTCTTAAATTGATCAAACTGGGGTTCATGGACTGCCAATAGTTAAACATGAATAAATAAAGTCAAAACTAAAGATTAGCATGTAGATTTAGTGTCGATTTATTAAATATGTCGGATTAATGGATAACTCTAAAAGAATATACTATTATGAATCAATTGTAACTAGACCACCATGAGAAATCTAGAAGCACTGAACGGCCATTTCATCCTATTGTACGATTCCTCAGCGATGCTCATCCACAATCTCACTTCGCAAGATTCAAATCCAAAACCTATCAGTCTTGCGCGCGAGCATTTAACTAATAGACTACTTAGCCGATATTCATGATCTCAACCATTACAAAACTGCTATACTATCCACAAAACTCCTTCTGATATTAATATCCTTTTAACTAATTTATTCTTTATTGTATTTACAAAAACGGTATTAATCGGTTACTTTTTTTCCTTTTTTTTCAAAAAAAAATATTTCACTAGATAAATGAAATACAACTGATGAAACCACAAAAAATCTCTGGTCAAAAATCACAATTACTTATTATTGGTATATCATGTTTAATACAATTAATTATATTAATCATTCTATGTAGTCTATCACCGACTATACCACAATTAATATTATCAGATTATGAATTAAATTCACAATTCAAAGTTGATAAAAAGTCTATTACAATCTATGAAGATGATTATGTAACAAGACTAAATAAACATCAAAAACAATTAATATTACATGGATTACCTAATAATTTAATATTATGCTTTCCATATTTTGATATTAAACAAATTATAAGTATATTTATACCATTTATATTAATGTGTTTAACAACTATATATGCTTATAAAATACGTAAAGTTCCAAGTGGATTTAATGAAGCAAGAGCATTAGCATTTGTTAATTATATTAATTTTATATGTTTTATTACAACACCTATACTTATGTATTATGCAAGTAAAACAATATTAGAATTAGTACCATTAAGTTTTTTATTAATTTCTACTGCAACTAATGAATTCAGTGTGTTAATTTTGCCAAAGGTAATTGAGTTCATTTTTTTCTTTTATTGTTTCCTTATTTATTTTGATATATGATGTTCATAATAACAAGCATACTCATATATTACCATTTATGTTTTAAAATACTTATGAGTAGTTAAAAAAGGTTTCTAACATATTAGTGGTTCTAGTTATTTTTAAGTGAGATTTATTTTCTTAATTGATTGATCATCGGGTGGTGATCACTGTCAGATCGAATGCTATCGATCAAGTTGAAATGTGGCCATCAGTCTAGGTGAATCGACACTGCGTGCACTATATTGAGATAAGATGGTGGTTGGAAGTAGTCAACAGGAAACTCTGAACCCGGGTTTCGTGCTGTTTGTACTCGTCAGTAAGGCGCACCTTTAATATTGAGGGAACCGATGCTCCCTGACGGATTCGATTCCGTGTCACCCAGCTCTATATCAAGAGATATTATCACTGGGCTATCCGGGTCACGACTGACCTTCTGTAGGACTGAGATGTAATCACAATTGATTGATCAATGAATGGTGATCAATGTCATGTGTGTCAGGCCCGTACGACTAAAACAATGTATGGTCCAACATTTTACCTCATGTCCTTGTGATTTGTAATCTCTTCTAGTAAAATTATACGTATTAGATATCGTTAAATGTATTGTACACCATTTAAGAAAGGATATTAAGTGATAAGCGTTTTTATGTGGTGTATTTTTATTATCGTCATCAAGGTGTGCCTGTAATCTTGAGGGAACTGGTGCTCCCTGACGGATTCGGTTTTCTTTTCATGAAAGACAAATAGTAATGTTTGACATAGTATAGGACTTTAAACTGAATATTATGAATAAGGTAAAGAGCTATGTGAACTGAATTTTCGACCAGCGATTTTGTTAATATTATGTATAACTGAAAGTAATACGATTGTAGAAATGATAGATATAATACATTTAACTTTTTATAGTTAACGGGTTTTTAGGAACTATCGTTCCTCGTGAAGATTTCATTTAGTCAACCATAGTAATTCTATCATTAAGATGTAACAGATTTCTTAGACATGCGAACAGCTCTTCTAAGGAAAAATATTAGCAATGTGGCTACAAATTTATTATACAAATGAGTGTTAGTGATAATGGGATGTAACCATAATGATTCCTTCCAGCGTTGACACAGCTGAATTATTGACTATTGAGATGTTTAAATATTTAGCCTTCTATGAAATAATACAATAAAACGGATTGTTTGACCTGGTTTGTGTCTGATCATTGATGAGATAATTAGTTCGATATGTTTTAAACCCAGAATACCCGTTTTCGGGTAGAAATCTTAATTATTATTTTTCTTCATCTACATGGGATGAGCATTTATTTACCATTCAGTGGTGTTATTTATCTTGAATACCGAAGGATATTCATTTAAAATATTACATAGTTTATGATCTTTAAAGTGATCAAATTCACAGATCTCGATTATACTGGAAATAACTGATTAGTTTGAATATTCAAATGTCAGTTGTTTAACGCTCTTTTGTGTAATTTATGACTGATAATTCCCATTTAAAAATTAAAAACAAGAAGTTCAGCGAAGAAACCTCTTTTGAACAGTTCCCAGTTTGGTTCTACAAGGGTGAGAGGAAAGCAGTTAGGAGCTCTTTACTTGAATACCTAATCGACTGTAATCATTCTATGGATCCACAGTTTGAATTTAGGGTTGTATATATGGTTCGTTCAAATCTACCTAGAATTCTTTGTATCCAACTCCTAAAAATAGTTGAAGCTCTTACCATCCATGAGCTCAAATCAGAACTATGGGTACAAAAGAAGTATGTCTAACCGTTATCGTTACCTTGGCCTTATTGCTGCATTCCCCTTTACTTATGTCTTATATTCTCATTATTTTGTTCGAAAATGCTTATTTATTTTTACACCTCTATGACCTTCAATTATTGTAACAAAAAACATAGTCATTTTAATAATCTTAATACTCTTACTAAATGTATTGTTATTATTCGTATTACGTAATCTAGTATTATAATCTTTCTATTACGTCATCTTGGTTATTCGTGTTGACATTTCCTCACGGAATTAGTACTTTAACAAGAAAAATTTTCATATATATATACGATTGTACAACTTGATAATAAGCTCGTTGAAAAGTGATCCCTTTACTGAACATCGTGTTTTTAATTTATGACTTTTCCACTTTCCTGCATTTTTTATTGTGGTTTAACTTCTTAAACGCATATTAATTTTCCAAGGATTCATCCAGATTTAGCTTACGTTAAATGTTTCCTCAGACAACTAGTGAATTATTCTAAGTTATGTTGTCTTTTTTACTTACATATACTTTCATCAAAACGGAAAATAACTTCAGCAACTTAATCTATAATTATATTTCCCTACTTAACAAGGTTGAGCTTTCTCCGCTAACTAATGTGTATTTGGTTAAAAATCTTTTCATTGACTAACAATAAGGCCTAGGTTCTTGTATCTATGAGATACGCTTACCATGCTTCATCGTATGAAATATCAGAATAACCAACCCCTAAAGAACAATGATTTGTCTGTTCCTAAGATGAAAATTTTATCAGTAATTAAGTTCGTCATCTGATAATTTTAATTTTATACAATAAATTTAAAAGTAATTATTAGCGTCGTTTGCATTCATGAGAATGTGGTTAAAGGACATTCTATGTTGATCTTAGTGTTTTCCATATTAAATAAAACGTTTTTTTCTATTTATGATGTATTATTTTAGATATACATTATTCTATTTCGACCATATAAAAATACAAGAGCCAGTATTATGCAACGTCTTAGAGGACTTAGTCAAGTCGAATGTACGGAGTGGATTAATGGTAAGTAATTCTCTATTTATATAATTTAAGAACTATTATTTACAAACATTTTACAAGACATAATTACTTATATAAAGAAATAAGAAAAAGTGGCTATACATTTTAGTATTGTCCTCATGAAAGTACAACGTTATAAACAACAGTTTATTACATGCTGTATTAGGTTACTTAGTTTCTGGACCTTTAATATGTTCGTTGGATGTTGTTTTAAACTAAGTATTTTATATTCATACTTTTATTTCTTAACAATTTTTATGAGTAAATTGACACTCTTTGAAAAATTGTTGATTATTTTTAATACAGTTTATCAATATTCATGGGTTTCCTAATAATTTTGAAACGAATTTCACAAAGTTTTTTTAAAAGACCATATCCATTCTTGAAGTCAGGATTGAGATAGTCTGTTATTGATTTGCTATTTATGACTAATGCTTGAGCAAAGCTAGGACTATTTAAAGGTCAGTAGACCAAGTTGTCAAATCAGTTGATAAGTTGGTGAATCTTCATTGACAGGGTTAGTTGAGACGCGTACAACATATGTCCAGATACTGCCTAACTCGATGGGCGATGATTGTTGGTACAAGTTAGGGTTAGAAGGAAGCTAAAGTTGGACAAACTAAAATATGGTATCAGTTTATGAAGTCATTAACAGTTGGCATTATCATGTTAATAATTATAGTTTAACTAGTAGCGATCGGTGAAATTATCGTAACCAATGGTTAGAGATATCAAATTACATGGCTTAAAATTCACTACTTATCTTCCTATAGATTATAAGATTAAAAATTATCCTACACCTTTTATACTCTGCTAATTCGTTTGGTTCTGCATTCATTTTATAAGTGTAATCCTTTCTACATCTACTACTACTATTTATATTTTTATCAGGTTCGTTATTCTAATCCTCTTGAACATGTAGTGATAACATCATTTTAATGTGTTAATGTCTTGTGCCAATTTGAACTGATATACTTATTTATCAGGTTCTATTTACAGTATGACTGATTAACCGACTTATAAAGATAAAGATTACAATTAAAAGATTACTTTTTACTCAATGTTTCTATATCATATTAATTTTAGGCTTTAGTCAAAATATTCTTCCACCACGTACTATAATATTTTAATTCGACAGCTCAAGTTTAATGAACTTGTTGTTCTTTAGATTTAATTTGATCACATAAATAATATAAGGCCTTTTTAATGATTTTAATTGCTAATGTTAACAACCATTCATTTCAGAGGTTACGTCCAGGAGTCCGTCTAGTATATTTAGTATATCTAAAGGTAAAGTGCTAAATCCTTGGCTAAAAATACGAGAACTATCTTCAAAATCTCTAGGTGGTCCAGCACCCATAATACACAATCCAACAACACTGGAAAATCAAAAATCCAAGACAATTAATAAGTGTTTAATTGATGAATTCTCATGTGGCACATCGCTTATAATACAGTGCTACAATGTAAAATCACCTACTAAACAAGTGCAGGAGAAGAATTTAATTTCATCTCTAATGAGACCAAAAGTTGTTTCTTTTGGTAAGTTCATCATACCTATTTGTTTTATTTCAAAATAAATTCACCCAATATTTTCATTCAGGTTTATTGTAATATTGTTTAATGTATTGAATGTGTTACATTTCAAAGGAAAATTCAAACTTGCCATTCAAAAAATCAGAACAACATAAATAAGTCCCAATATAGGGAGTAAAACATGAGATACACACAAGATTCATGAATATATAACTGCATGTACCCAAAAAAAATTATGTTTTCATTCACTTATATACTGAATATATATATGCTTTGATAGTCATAGTTGTGAATAATGTGATTTCTTTGAAACAACAATTACATATAAGTCGTTGAGGACTTTGAAATGACTATTTCCATGTTGGTGGTTTTTAGGACAATTTTGTCCTTGAAGTTATGCTGATTTTATATATAAGCATAAACATTCAGGTTTATCTTCGCATCAAAACAAGCATGAAAATTCTCCGGAGAACTTATTTAAAGTACTCTAGATGTAGTCTACTCTTCATGGTCATGTGTGTAAAAGAAACCTATTTTGAAGAGTAAGTAAATCTAACACAAACATCCATAAATATAAGTAGACTAGAATTAAATAAACTTCTGGTATGCTCGCAATATTTCTTAATCAAACAGGTCATCGAAATTGATGCAAATGCTAAACCAGTGACAAAATGTTATAAAAATCCACTTAGTATTATGTAGGGACAAACCTCTTCAAAAGATTTATAATTGACAGGTTTAATACACTTTAAAACAAACTGAATTATCACTTTTCATATGACTAATAAGTGTCAGTATTAGGAAGTGTTGTTCTCTGTTTAGATACATAAGAAAATAAACCTATCCGTTGAATCTTAGTTTGGTATTTATTGTATTTTATTACTTAACAGTTGAAAAATCCAATACCGAAATAAATGAGAATGAATGGATCACTTCACATCAGACAGGGAATTTAATTACGACTGATAAAAGGTGCTTAGCTGGAAATAATATCGATTCTAAAAAAGATCACAAAGTTGATACCAGTAATTACGTAAACTATAAAAATTGAATACTTTAAAAGTAGTAGATATTAATACTGACGGGGATTTTCAAATATTCCACAAAATATAACAACGGAGTATATTTGACAAAGAACTTTCTTTTGTTTATACTTTCCCTAAATTCTTTTTACTTGGCAATAATCTTTTATTCCTTCATAATCTCTATGGATTTTCAAAATCATGCAATAAATAAATTGATGTTTATTTATTTAAAATGTTAATAATAATTCCTTTTTAAAAATACGTCTGTTGTTAATCTTGATTTGTTAAAATGTTTCTATTGCAAAATTATTTACATTGGTCAATAATTAGATATACCTACTTTAAAAACGAGTACATGTAGAATGAAACAATGATCTAAACTAAAAGTGTTATGTTTTAATATTTAAAAACAGTTTCAAATATTTGTTGGGGATCATGTTGATTCAAATTAGTCAAATAGCTAACTTCATAATGAAAAAGTAGTGTAACTACGTATGTCAAATTACATACTGTTTCCAAGTAGATCACTTTACATTTGATTATTTAAAACCCTTCATTAATTTATCTTAGGCAAACTTACTGACCTACTTACGCCTGTTACTCCTAATGGAGCATAGGCCGCTGACCAGCATTCTCCAACCCACTCTATCCTGGGCCTTCTTTTCTAGTTCCATCCAATTCTTGTTCATTTTTCTTATGTCTATCTCCATTTCTCGGCGTAATGTGTTCTTTGGTCTTCCTCTTTTCCTTTGGCCTTGAGGATTCCATGTGAGGGCTTGTCTTGTGACGCAGTTGAGTACTTTCATCAATGTGTGTTTTATCCACTTCAAGCGCTTCTTCCTGATTTCTTCCTCCGCTGGGATCTGGTTTGTTATTTCCCACAGTTGGTTGTTGCTAATAGTGTCCGGCCAACAGATCCGAAGTATTTTGCGTAGACAACTGTTCATAAACACCTGTATTTTCTGGATGATGGCTTTTGTAGTTCTCCAGGTTTCTGCCCCATACAGTAGAACTGTCTTGACACTTGTATTGAAAATCCTAATCTTGGTGTTGGTTGACAGTTGTTTTGAGTTCCAGATGTTCCTCAGTTGTAAATATGCTGCTCGTGCTTTACCGATCCGTGCTTTCACATCTGCATCAGATCCACCATGTTCATCAATGATGCTGCCCAGATATGTAAAGGTTTTTACATCTTCTAAATCTTCTCCGTCAATTGTGACTGGACTGGTGCATGTCGTGTTGTATCGGAGAATTTTGCTTTTCCCTTTGTGTATAGTGAGACCTACTGCTGCTGAGGCTGCTCCTACACTTGTTGATGTCTCCTGCATTTGTTGTTGCGATTGCGATAGGAGGGCTAGATCATCTGTGAAGTCTAGATCGTCCAGCTGCATCCCAGATGTCCACTGTATTCCGTATTGCTCTTCAAATGTTGATGTCTTCGTGATCCAGTCGATCATCAGGAGAAAGAGAAAGGGTGAGAGTAAGCAACCTTGCCTGACACTGGTCTTTACCTCGAACGACTTTGTTAACTGTCCTCCATGCACAATTTTGTAGTTTAATCCATCATAGGAATTCCGTATGATATTGACTATCTTCTGAGGCACGCTGTATTGTTGAAGAAGCTTCCACGCTGTCAAATGCTTTTTGGTAGTCAATGAAGTTGATGTAGAGTGATGAATTCCATTCAATTGATTGTTCCACAATGATCCGTAGAGTTGCGATTTGATCTGTACACGATCTATCCTTACGGAATCCTGCCTGTTGGTCTCGAAGTTTAGCGTCTACGGAGTCCATCATTCTGTTTAACAATACCCTGTTGAAGACTTCTCCCCGTATTGAGAGAAGAGTGATTCCCCTGTAGTTATCACACTTGCTGAGATCGCCTTTCTTTGGTATTTTGACCAGAAGTCCTTCTTTCCAATCTGTTGGCACTTGTTCCTCATCCCAAATCTCATTGAAGAGAATGTGGAGCATCCTTGCAGTTGCCGCTATGTCTAATTTTATTGCCTCTACTTGAATATTGTCTGGTCCCGCTGCTTTAACGATCTTGATTTGTCTGATGGCCATGCTGATTTCTTCAATTGTTGGTGACCAACATCGATTGGGAGGTCCGTGGGTGCTGCTTCGATGTTGGGTGCGTTCAGTGGAGCTGGTCGATTCAAGAGTTCTTTGAAGTGTTCTACCCACCTGTCTCGTTGTTCTTCAATGTTGGTGATTACCTCGCCTTCCTTGCTTTTCACTGGTCGTTCTGGTTTGCGGCGATTTCCAGAGAATTTCTTTGTTGTGTCATACAATTGTCTCATGTTTCCTTCTCTTGCAGCCTTTTCCGCCGTCATTGCTAAATCCTCCACAAATTTTCGTTTGTCGGTTCTGATGCTCCTCTTCACTTGCTCGTTTACTTCTGTGTATTCAGCTTGTGCCTTGGCTTTTTCTGCTCTTGTTCGGCTGGTATTGATTGCTGCCTTCTTGTTCCTTCTTTCCTGAATCTTATCCAGTGTATCAACAGTGATCCATACCATGTGATTGTGCTTCTTGTGGCCCAGAACCTCATGATATGTTGAAGTGATTGCTTCTTTGATCCCCTTCCAGTTGCTCTCTATAGTAGTTCCTTCTCCATTGAGTAGATCATGAAAGGCCTGGAATTTATCGCTGAGGACTATCTTGAATTTGTTGAATTTGTTAGTATCCTGGAGAAAGGCCGTATTGAACTTTTGTGATACTGTCTGCCCCGTTGTCCAGTGCTTCTTGAGTTTCAATTTCATCTTGGCGACCAGTAAGTGATGATCTGATGCTATATCAGCTCCTCTCTTGGTTCTCACATCCTCTATAGTCCTCCTGAACTTTTTGTTGATGCAGATGTGGTCGATTTGGTTCTGCGTGATGTGATCCGGTGAAGTCCATGTGGCTTTGTGAATGCGCTTATGTGGGAATATGGTGTTGCCCATGACCAGTTTATTGAAGGCACATAGGTTTGCAAATCTCTCACCATTTTCGTTCCTTTCTCCCAGTCCGTGTTGTCCCATTATGTCTTCCTATCCGGTGTTGTCCGTTCCAACCTTAACATTGAAGTCTCCCATCAGAATGGTCAGGTCCTTTATTGGACACTTCTCGACGATTGACTACAGCCTATTGTAGAATTGATCTTTAGCGTCTTCATTGTAGTCGTTGGTAGGCGGGTAGCATTGGATGATGTTCATTGAAATGCCCTCTTTTTTTGTTTTGAACGAGGCTTTGATGATCATTGGTCCATGAGATTTCCATCCTATAAGTGCATTTTGTGCTTGTTTGAACAGCATCAATGCAACTCCTTGTGTATGTGGGGCATTTTCTTCTTGATGGCCGGAGTATAACAGAAGCTCTCCTGAAGTTAGTCGTTGTTGTCCAACTTGTGTCCAATGTGTTTCATTGATCCCAAGCACCTCTATGTTGTATCTCCTCATCTATGCAGCAATTTATAAGGCTCTCCCGGTGTCCCACATTGTACGAGCATTCCATGTACCTAAATAAATGGTTGCCCTGGTTGTCAGAAGGGGCATTGATCTCGTAACTTCCGAAGGAACTCGGCTTTCATCATGAGTCGTCATAGTTCTTCTAAGTGAAGACCTGATTCCCAGGGCAGAGTTTAAAAGGTTCGAATAATTTTTTCTGGTTTGCGTTTTCTTGGCGAGTTAGTTTTCTACGGGATGGGGTCGCTAACCCCATGCCCAACCGTTCTCCTTTATCCGGGCTTGGGACCGGCAGCAGCCCCCGGAGGGACTCCAGGCGGAGTTTAGGTAACCTAGATTATGATTAATAAACGATGAATAAATTTTAACTATAAGTAATCAACATTACTTATGAAGAGTAAACAGTTTTTATGCCTTTTTTCATACTTTCATTTTTCATGTGGTCTAAATGAATAAGATTAATACATGAATAATACAATCTATCAAGATCATATTTTGAAATAAGTTGAAATACAAAAAAAAATAAGTAAATGGAAGGTAATGTGTAAAACAAGTTGTACAATAGTTCATTTAGGAGTCTGTTGGAAATAACAGTTCAACAAAATTTTCATATAACAAACAATACACATATGACATATGATATTGGTAATGAATTCATTAACTGACTAAATTCATAAATTATAAAGTTATTTTGAGAAGGATTTGATGTATATTATCAAAGATTAGTTTCAATGAATTGTAATATCTTATAAGCTAGCTTCGTATTTTTGTTTGGTTATTGAATAATACTTGCGAACCCATAAATACTTTCTTTAAGTACACTATGATTACATTTATTCGATTTTCACTTTATGGTTGAAATGTAATATTCTACTGAATGGTTTATTATAAACGAACCGAGATCATATACTACCAAATACTTCATAATATTTAGAAATCACAAAAGTTTATTCATTAAAAAAGAGAGATGAATTTTAGGAAACACTTAAAACTGATTTGAGAATTAGCTATTGTTAACTCGAAAATCTCTACGATTCATTAAAAATGGAAATTTTCAATTCAGTAAACACTGTCTTGTCACTGTGGTTCAAACTATCTGACATTAATGCAGCTGAAATTAATTATTTTGTCGTGTTAAATTTTTCTATTTGATTCTAAAGCATATTGAAGTGATGGAAAATCCAGAAGTAAACAAAATTGGTAGCGATGTAGTAGTTACTGACTACTAAAAATCAACCAAATCGCATAATGTAAGTCAAAATCATATTCGCAATACTGGTCGGAGATATCTAACAATATCGGGGCAACTGAAACATTTGAGTTAGAAGATTGGAAAATTCCACAGAACTGATAAAAATTAATAGAATTTATAGGTTTTGGCAGTTAAAAATGAGTTATCTTCTCCAGTCAGCAGTCTGTTACTTCTGGAAAATTTTAGTTTTCAATTTTACAAAGTAGCATTTAGAGAGAACATTTATATTGAACTTATTATTTATAAGCATTAAGTTTGTTTGTGTAGTTCTGTAGTCGTAATTTTAGTCATTTCTATGAATGAAATTGTGCATCCGTTTATTGAACTAATTAAGGCTAGAATTAAGTTGTTTCTTTATTTCTATAATTATCGTGAAACTAAAATCTACGTTGACTGGAACTTAACATAATGAAATGTTACTAGTCATAATTGATGTTGTTTCATTACCAACTCAAAGGAAATACTAATTTTTGCTTTATTTGTAATTTTTATTGAACTATCTATGTGTTCTTTTACGTTCATTGAGTTAATTCATTATTTGTTTCCGTGATAATTTCATAATCATCAATGTATCTACGTTGGGGTCCGCATGACTGTCGTAACCAATGGTTGGAGACTCTGGGTGGCATGTCTCAGAGTCGATCACAATGGCGTAGGTGTATAAATTCACTGTCTTCCCTGAAACTATGAGATTAGAACGGCTACACATTCTTTCTACCAACTAATTCTTTCTTCCTGTACTACGTCCTTATATGCAATCTTTCTTTTATATATTATCACCATTGAATTAACCACTTCTATGAATTCGTCGTTCATCTAGTTGTGTTAATGAAGTATGGTAACTTAGACCGATATACATATGTGCCTGGTTCTACGTTGTAGCTGACTACTATGTAATATCATTCATAATTAGAATTACACGATCATTTATAAGAACAAATATGTAAGATATTGAATTTATCAATAACTATATCAAAAAGTATAGCAATATTAACAAAATAAAAAAGAAACTAACATAGAATGTTGTTATTAACGTGTTTTTATTCATTTTAACCAGTAAAAGAAAATTCACTGAATGTATCAATAAATCATGTACAGAAAAAGGAATAAGCGAAATAAACTTAATTTTACTAATCTACGAACCAAAATTCATTTATAATTTATATTAATGGATTAAACAAGAAACATAGAAGCATCAAATGCACATTACAATTCATATTATTATTATTATTAATATAATTGTATTATTATTATTATTATTATTATATAATAAACAAATCACAAGCAAAGATAGAATCAAATAAATTTTCGAAAGAGAAATTATTCAATACGTTTATACAAGATTGATGAACTGTTTTATTATATAGTGAAATTCTCAAAAGATTATTTATTTTATAATATAAAGTCAATTATCTCAGTATTTTCCAATGATGAATAATTGAAAATTAAGAGAGAGAGAGAGAGACAACATCCTCATTTAATTAGTTACTGAGGTTAGATTGTCCTAAAGTTTACAAAACAAAAATTTCATAAAATACTATGATTAGTATTATTATGCATGAAAAGAACGAAAGAGACGAAAGATGAATTAATTTTCATTATCTCATTAAAAGAAATATTAAAAATCGTACTGTTGATTGCTGATTATTGTCACATTTAATACAAGTAATTAGTCAAGTGTTTAGTACAATATTGAGGATAAAATTATTTCTTTTTTCTTTTTCGAAAAGAAAAAAATTACGAAAATGTTTCGAAAAAAAAGTATAAATAAAATAACAAATTCATGATTATGCATTGTTTGATGAAGAAAAGAAAAGTTACTTGAAATATCTAATGATATGTTACGATGTTTACTTGGAATAATAAGATAATCATATTATGATTTACGACGTAAAGAGAAAAAATTCCTAATAGAACGACGATGACCATTACTTTGAAAACTTCTAGAATGAGTTCCCACAGGAAGTGTTAAAGTATGTCCAGTTTGATGTTTACTGAATTCAGAAGCTAAGCACTTAGCTGATTCATTGATGGCTGTAACCCAACGATTAAGAACATTGTCATTTGCAGTTTGAAATAGATATTCACTACCATCTCCAAGACGTAATCGAAATACACATGGTCGTTTTGTGTAATCTATAGCAGGAGCAGCTCTTGATGACAGTAAGCTTAATGGTGATGTATCATGATAGTATATGTTTGGTTTTTCCCGACGACTTTGTTGATCTTTGTAAACAAATAGTTGACCTGAATCAAGAACCAGATAAAGAGGTAACCAGCTCCGACCTTGACTTTTTGAATGTAAAGATCCACCAGAATCTAAATCGTGCTTTCGTATAACCGGACCCTCTAGTTTTGGTAAAACTGGTTGTCCACTTGTCGATGTTTCAGGTTCCTGTGATAACCTAGTTGGCTCTTGTTCAGCACTTTCAAAGAATTTCAACTTGGTTGTTGAAGCAGGGGATTCAGTCGTTGGCAAGTCAGATTGAGAAGATCTAACTCTTAGTGAACGGCTTCGATTTATAGGTTTTTGTTGGTGTTCATGTGGCTGATCTACAGTTTCCCTATATAATAAAAAATAAATCAATTTACGTTAATATCAAATGTGAACAAATATAAACAAACGTCTAGAAGAAACATTAAGTTTGTTTAAATTCAATAAGTTTATATTACTCACACACCAAACACAACGTTCAATCTACCAAATTAAATAAAGTGAAAACTGTTGAAAGTCAACAAGTTATACAGCTAATGGTTAATTAATTTGAACAGGCTACAAAATAGACAATATTTGAAAGCCATGTTTATTTTACAGATGATAATAAATAATTGAAACGAAGTTTTATTAACTTTATTTACTTATCATAGGCTGACATCGTCTTCATTTAGCAGATAATTAACAGTTATTAGATTATTTCATAAATGTGAAAGCCTAAATCAACACTTAACAGCAGATGGTGATGGATATTATTTATTGAGTTCATAGCTATGAATGAGCACCTAGAAGTGATCAAAGTAGTTGAAATACGAATCGGGTGAAAATCTTTCGAGATAGAAAGTAAATGGACATTCAACAGTTTGAAGTTAATTTACGTCACGAACAATACAGAGTGATGGCATAAATAACATTTCAGTACTAGATGTTCCTACGTAGGTAAGTTGAACACACTCACACATACGAACAACTGATCAAGGGAAAAGTATCTTCTATTAACAGGTCTTGATAAGAATTCTGGGAAAGAATTAAGCCTGATAATCAAATGTCAGTTTCAATGGTTCAGGAATGATCTACAAAATCAGTTAGTTTCAAGACGAACTTTAATCATGATTAGTTTTGTGTTAAATATTTTATAAGTGTGTACTTTTATGCAAGACAACTGGTTTTAGATAAAAAGAGGTTCCATCTTTGGATATCTATATACTGAGGGGTTTTGCGTCACTACTTCCGTTTTCGTGATCAATCACTCAATCCACCTCCATACATACACACAATATATTTCATTATGAAACTATTGGTCTATTAGGTTGCTACTGAGATATAATATATATTAAGTTTCAGTATACATTATATTTTAATACCGAGAGGAAACAATACAAGATACTTACAGTGAACGAGTGTTATCATTTTCATCAGTGGTTTCTTCTACATGACGATTATATGAAGACGGTTTTTCAGTGTACATTGGAATTTTCTCCGAAGAATCTTCAGATTTCTGACTAATGGGTTCTGATCTATCCCTGTCAGATAAACTTTCTTCCTTGGTTATCACGACTGATGACTCTGGTATTTGTCTTGAATGTAATCGTTTAACTGGTCGCGGGGACATTATAGTTTCGTGATGTTCAACTTTCTTCCCAGGACTCTTGTACGACTCCACAGTTTTGGGAGGTGATGTCTTAACTGCTGTCACTATACTATCGGATGTTGATGGAATTTTTGTTCTAGGTTTTGGATGTACAACTGGTATTTCAGTTGCTTCAATTGATTTCCTAAGTGGTTTAACAGGGGGATGTTGAATGTAAGCAGTAGATACCAGTGGAATTTTTGATGAAGAAACACCAATTGTATGTGATGGTAAGATGGAAGTTGATTTTCCCAAAGTCTCAGTTTGTCCAACATAAGCAGGAAGAAATTCTTTGACAGCGTTACGAACTTTATTTCTTTGTTCATTCTCTCTCATAATAACTTCTTGTGGATCCCATTGCATTGATCTTAGTTCAAGCTGAAAGTGTAGGAGAAAATAAAGATTATTCCAATTTTTAGTTTAGACTTACTCTATGAATATTCTAAATTGAAGAGTAACGCACACAATGAATATTTGGAAGCAGTTATTGCAAGACACTGCTTAAAATTATTTCATTTATAACTTTTTAATAATGTAATAAATAAAGATGAAAACCTTAAAAACAAATCATCTTTCTCTGGTTTAGCTAAAACTAGATATTGCATTGATTGGGAATCCAATGATGTAAATATTTAATATAGCTACCTAATTAACTTGTGGACTGGTTGAAATTTATGAAATGTTTGCGAAATGTCGTATCTCAGTTTCTAGTAGACGTGTGGATATGATATGTTTACATTGCATAAATTTGAAATCATTGAAGAATTATATATGGGTGTATGTATATATGTGATAAATATTCCTGGCATATTGTTCTGTATGTTTACGTTCTAGCCTGCTGTACATACTTCATCAGTTGGTCACTGGTTATATTTCGTAACATCCACCTTGTTGGAATTTATGGTTTAGTTCTGAAGACAAATTATCAATTTGGATGTTTGGGCTATTTAAGAGCATAATAAAATCAATTGAATTGACAAACAGAAAGAGTTTTTTGGTAAAAAAAATATCCCGGCTAATCTTTTTTGTCATTTCTCTATACTGTTGAACAACAAATCTGATGAGAACTGCATAACTCAATAAAATTTTTCAACTATACATAATTATCAGTTCTATGTCTACTTACCAGACCTTATATTAAAGAACTACAACTAAATATAATGTAAACAATAAACATGGGATAAATGATTCCTCAAGAGTAGTTAACACGTTTATAAATTATAGAGTTGAAAGTGCTGAAATTATTTATAAATTTAATGAGATGTGCGAGCTGATTGACCTAGTAAATTACCTACTGGATCTTATCCTATATCTCATGTAAATAGTCAAGTAGTTGAGTGTGTGAAGATCTAGTAGCGAATTCAATCTATTATTTGTAAACTAATTATTCAAGCACAATATTTTGAGTATGAGTTTTCAATTAACAAATAAACCATCAAAAACAAATGAAAATAAAAATTACAAAACAACTCATAATTATTCAGATTAGTGGGTACTATGGGAGTTTGAAAGGAAAATATTAAGTTCGAGTTGCTAACTTGACCAAAACGTATGATCATATGCTGCTATAGAGGAAATCCTCACAGAACGTACATTATACAAAAAAAGACTAATCAATTTCAGTGTTTAACATCAACAGTAGGAAGATACAAACATTATTACTCACTGTAGTTAATCTTTTCAATGCATTAAATCTTTCATCTGCTGTTGCTAATGTTTGTTGGAATGCGTAATGAGCACCAAGTAAAGCTAGTGTTTCAGCTAATGTTTCACCTAATTGACGACGTGCTGATTCTAATTGTAACTCTCTACCCATTAACCATATTTCTGCACTATTCGCATCACGCGCGAATTGACGTATTTCTAATAATAAATGTAAACGATCCCAACGTTCACGCCATAATTCATTTAATAAAATACGCCCAGTTGCTAATTGTACACATCTCTCGCGAACTTCAGTTCGTGTAGCTATTAAACTTGGTTTCATAGTTGGTAGGATCGCTTTCTCTTCATGAGCTGCAAATTCAGCTAATAATATCCGACCAAGATTCAAGCAATCTTCAATTCGTTGATTTCGTGATTCTAATTCCACCCGTAATTGTTTATGATCTTCAATTAAATATTCAACACCAGAAATATCTCTAGAATAAGTTGATCGGTAAGAAACAAAATGAAAACATAATTAAGCACAATAAACAAAAAGTATATTTAATAATATATAATATTTAATAAACTTATTAAATGGAGTAAATGTGAATGTCGTTAACAGAAAGGTTGAAATCGAGACACACAATATAAATGGTAATATAGAATTTTAAGTAGAGACATTCATATTAATAATCATAATAACAAAATAGGAGACTAAAATATGAATTAACTTGAACCATAGTAAAGAAAACAATCTAGTAAGTTGTTTTTGTTTACGTCAATGATACCTATCCTCACAAGACCAGGTTTATTAGTATGCATTTATTGAATTGATCAGTATTGGGAAGATGACTTTCATCGAGAGTCACGTAAACCAACAACCATTATATTTCGAAAGAGCAATTGCTGCAGCAGGAATTAGTCTTTCTAGATAGCTTGTAAGTATATCATTAACAAAATCAACTTTAAAATAGAGGTTCATGTATAGAATGTTTTTTCAGACTGTGATGATTGTTCATACTTTAGATGTTCACCAAAGAATTTTATCGAATATTCAAAGGATTTCCGAACATCAATCTCATTCTCGAACCAGCCCAACAAACACATTTTAGCGTAATGTTAACAGAGAAAGTGTGTGGAGTTTCTGGAACCAAACAATAATGATTGAATAAATGAAGCTATATCACTGAGACATGTACCGAAAAAGACTGAAGATGCTTCCTAAATTGGCCTATTAGTAATGAAGATAATGTTACTGAGAATCATGCATACTATTATGCCGTACAAAGAATAGGTGAATAGTAACCGCTAGGATCTATCTGTCGACTATTGTTGCATATTTCCTTATTTTATAACCACTGTATAACCAATTACATTATGTGCATATTCATATTCCTTTTATTATGTGCTATTTGACTTATTGACTATTATTATTTACTATTCTTAAGATATTCCAAATTTATTATTAACAGTCTCTCACAATCACGGCAACTTTTTGGCTTGATCTTGTATAATTTTTGTTTTCTGTCTTATAGTATGATGCGGTCTGATTTGTTTGCATATAAACCGTGTGTGTCTGAAATATATGATTCGTATCACGGAGGCTGATATTAGCGTTCCGGACTGAACCGGCTGGGTTAGGAGAGAAGCTACTATTTCAGAGGACCAATAAGAACTCTAGGTTGCTTGTACATGTTTAGGAGTCATTAGTCTGGTCGTATAAACCGGTGTCTGATTGACGACCTCATCACGCGATAATTAACAGGCCATAAGAACATAATACATACTAAGTGCATTTTTTGCAATCATATGATACACAATTTTAAAATATATTAGAAACTAATAGTAAAAGGGTAAAACTAACCTTGGTCTTTCTTTGTGTTCCATTAAATCTTTGGCATGTTCTAACCATGAAATTAATTCACGAGCATTGACTAGAAAGTCATATAATCGACTAGCTTCTTTTAATAGATTCCGTCTTATCTCAATAACTTTTAATAAACGTTTCCATATTGTTTGAACACGTTCATGATGTGCTTGTAATTGTTCCGCTTGTATACCAGCATAACGTGGTAGTAATCGTTTAGCTGTTAAATCCAATTGTTTCAATTGATCACCAAAACATAAAAGTTCCTGTTCTAATAAATTATGACTACGTTGTAAACCAGGTAGACCTTGTTTTCGTCCAGATGCTAAAGAATCAGATGGTGCTTCGGGTAGATTGTCAAGACGATAACAAATTCTTTCTTCAAAATCCTATAATATTCACACAACAAAATGGAAACAATATTTTTTAAAATATATATATAATTTTATCACCAATAGTCAGCTGCATTTAAAATAGAATTAAGTAAAAAAGATTTAAACAGGGAACAGAACACAAATCGTTGAAGAATATTGCGTACTTGAGTAGAATAACGAATTTGTAGAAAAATAGAAAATAATTATATATTAGAGAAGAGGTAAAATACATCAATTATATTGAGTAGAAAGATGTTTAAGAAGTGAACTAACCATTATGAATAAAAACTATTTCTAGTATTAAATTACTTCTTATTGTTTTGGGTTAATGTAGACATATGATTGCTTTAGTTAACTGATTAGTAATATAACCAAGTGATTATAGAAGGCTTAGTAACATTAGTTAGTAGTTTTAATTCAGTTTGTATTGTTTGTTTGAATCTTCCCATTGATGTTTAGGACTGCAACTGATCAGTCTCTTATTGACATATATGCACCCTGTTTTGATTGCATTAAACCACAAGCATTATAAGCAAATATGGATGGTGGCTAGCAGTGAAATCTAGAATGCGCGTTTCGTTCTATTTAATATACATCAATTGGATGTTTGTGCATCCCAGAGATGAAGTTCACTCCGGAACTGGGACCCAGTAACGTTCGCTCCAAACGCCATTGCGTTATCCAGTTAGCTACAGAGTTATGGTAGCCACTAGCTTGTGTCAACAAGAGATTACTCAATTTCAGTCCTAAACATCAATGGGGACATCCAAATAAACAAACAAGATGAATTAAAACTTCATCTCATTGTTCAAGCTAGTTTTATCGGGAATCAGTAGCTAAGTGAACAACGCGATGGTTTTTGGAGCGGACGGTACTGTGTTCGAGTTGCGGAGTGAATATCATTTCTGGGATGCAGGTACATCCAGCTGACGAGTCTCAAATAGGACGAGATGCGTGTCCTGGACTTCGCTGCTAGCCTTCATTCATTTTTGCTTATTAGTTAGTAGTATGAACTTCTGTTCGAAAAACCGAAAAATCTGATACTACACCCACACACGAAATTATTGTTAATTGTGGTAAAAGCATAATGAAAGATGGCTTTGACCTCGCTTCCATATAATTTGTGGAATCATTGAATACCAGATATCCTTGAACATCGATTTACAGGTTTTTTAGTAAAGCGAATCTATGACTCTATAAGCAAATGAAACCGGACCTTTAAGTATTTAGACAAGTACACATAAAAAGTAGGAATAAAGTGATTACAGTTTCGAAGGTTTGTTGATTTCTAATATGGTTTGAGCATCATATTTCACCAGTGAATAACTGCTACAATAGAAACTCTTTTGATTACATAAGCCAAGAGTTTCTGCTGCAATTCTTAAAAATCTTTTTTGAAGTAAATTGCTAGTGATATGAAGATTAATCTTATTATGGCTAGCCAGTTAAGGCAGTCGGCTTTCAATAAGTAGGTCACAGGTTTAAACCTTGCTCCACTTACCTTAATGTGGTCGACTGGGTAGTATCAGAAGCGCTAGCATAAAACGTGTATGACTTCAAGTCCAGCATGTTGACCGAAATTTTGTAAATGAGTTACACTATTATGGAAGTATATGTTTTGGAGCTCATGGTATTAGGTGATAACTAATCGATTCCAATCTGAAATAGGAACAATTTCGTACTTAACTACAATAGATTTGGAAGTTTTGAGTTCGATCAATAATAACGTTGGGCTAACCCACTGCTTGAAGTTTATAACGCTTGGATGAATTAAGTTTCTATCATTTTATTATACCGATGGTCCATAAGTTGCCCAAAAAGTAAGAAAATCTCATATCGTCTGAAAAAACCTTCCATGACCTCCTTCGACCTATGTAAGGGCATACTTGTGTAGTAAAAGGATCTACGGTTTTCCAAATGTGACCTTAGTTTTGTTGTAAGCGGCCAATTATAATCAAGCAAAACAGCCAACGCCCTTATAACGTTTATCTCATCATAAACAATTTTGAAAGAGTCTATGAATCTCATATCATAGAATAACAAATGAGTCATTCAAACGCCCATTTCTCTATATATTCTCAGCATAAGTTACAAGCAAGCTATGGGCACACCCAATATATTCCACTGACAATTTGTCGTCATATGTAATGTAAATTTCGAGAAATGTTACAACCAAGGTAATCATATTGTTTTCATCATGTGCATTCTAAAACAACAAAAAAGGAAAATCAGTTGACTTGACAACTGAATTTATACCATTGTTCGTGACGATAATATTTTAAAGGAAAAATGTGTACATACTACATATTTAGCTACTCCTAGCACGTTTTGTTGAAATAGATATGTGATTTCTAATGACACTATTTTCGGTAGAAATCGTAAATCTCATTTATGTTGTTAATTTCTGCCAGTGCAATAAAGAAAGATATGGAAAAGAGAACTTTATTGATCAATACATTTTTGCTTAACATTGATTTTGGTGGATGAACATTGAGTAATCGACTAACAGAAATTTTGTGCTGTGAATAAGAAGCTACGGAATCTTATCTATACGAAAATAATTATTATACTTGTTCGAAGCATTGATCCTTGTTAAGTTAGGTAGTCCGCAATCATGAAGTTTTAAACTAGGACAAAGCAGGTGGGTAGTGCGCCTTAGTTTGTAATTGTTGTTGATGGTGTTGTCCCGTGACGAATACAAATTTTACAGTAAATTAATCTTCATAAATAATAGTTATCTTTTGGTAATCTACTTGCTGTGGGACGAATTCCTGAAATGAGTGATATAGTTTAACTGTATTGAGAGTGTGACAGTTACCCATCTGTGATATTATATGAATAACTGACTGTATCGCGAATCAACTGAATTTTAAAAAAATATGAAACTACAAATCAAACTCAATGGTTAATGGGTAACATCTGTATTGCTTAAACCAAAAGTGTCAGGTTTAATTTTATGTGCAATAAATAAGTGTGCCCAGCTGAGGAGTACCACACAAGTATGAAACTGTGCTTCTTGATTTTTAATGTTTTTCCAGTTGATATTAGTCTGTGATTTTGTCTATTGTTTAATGAAGTTAATTCCAACCAAATAAAAATATAATCTGTACTAATAAGAAAGGTCTAACCGTTTAAGATTTATTTAAGAACAAATTTACAAATTAAAACATTTAAAGCCAAATATCTGGTTGTAATTAAATGTTGTACGTATTAAGTGGAACATTTAAGGACTCTTAACAGTGAAATTTCAGGTTCAGTTCTTCAAATTTGTAAATACTGAATCTTTCATGCTACATGTTATATATATATATATATACATATACATACATGTCATTAATTAAATGGATTTTTAATATTTTCGTATTATTTTAGGAGACGTTTGAAGATGACTTCAATATATTATGTTTAATCTGTGAATATCATTGACATTAAATTGGAATCTGTTTATGTAAAAACAATTTGAATAAACTATAGATGTTTCTTTTTGGAAATCGGGTCATCACTCACAGTTTGAAACTCGTAGCACTACTCTTTAAACAAGATAGGAATGAAGATAACCATTCACTGACAGCACTTGTTATTTTTGACTAAACATTATCTTGGTCCATGCTTCGTTATATATCTTGAATTCGAATTCACATCTGATCAACGTTTAACTCTTAGCAATGGAATAATACTTAAATAACTCTAAGTTTCACTAGTTTGACAAATGTAATGAAGCTAGCTCATCAATTACCTGGATTTCAAAAGACACTAAATAACTGAATAAAAGAATTTGTTATGATTTCTACGCTATTCTTTTGTTTATATATAAAATATTGAAGAAAAACTCTTCATATCCAACTCCTAAACTTGATAATTTACCAATTTCGTCATAAAGTGGCCTATTGAATATAATGCTAAATATTTTATTCAGTTACAGTGATTAATATTATTTCTGTTGCTAACTCACTGTCATCAAACTACTCTTCATATTTCATAATTTCAAATTTATAATATTAAAATTCACTTCAGTTATATTATTTCTCTTGATAACGTATGTTGAGGTTGAATTACTACATGTTTATTATACTAAGAAATCTTTATGAAATGATCATCTTTTACTCTAGTTAAATTAAAAGAAACTGCTTGGTAAGCTGTGACCTCTAAATTTAAACTAATGTAAAGTGAAACGGAGATTTTCCAACGACATTATATGGTTATTGAATTGCGTCAGAAAAATGAAGGTATTTGAAAATAATCAACAGTGAAAATCAACTCAGTGAACTAAAAGTATTATATTTTTGGAAAAATTAAAGGTCATAGGTACATGCCTGAATGGAGTTAATTGTGCTTACACTGCATTTAAGTCCTAAATGTGAATTAGACAGTTTTTTAATTGCACTTAGATTTTCAGTGGTTCTCCGAATGATATCGGTTCGTTATTTTGTCTGTGTTCATGAGATATTCTTTCTATTAGATTATAATAAACACGTCTTGTTTGGTAATAAGATATCTATTATGGGATACAATTACTAGATACAATACAAACGGTAATAGTATGTAAATCTATGTGATAATATGCTTAAAAATAACTTACTCTACAATCATTAACAAATCGATGCATATTCAATGCAGCTTTTAATAATTGTTTTCTTGTTTCGATTAATTCCAATAATTCAGCCCATATTTCATTGATATTATCTTTAATTGATGCAATTATCACGGAATCTGATTTGCCTAATGCAATTAAATGCACACATTTAGTTGATAAATCTGAAACAAGTTGTGAACCTGTTTGTACAGTTTCTTTATTGAATATCATGAATTTATCTCGTAAATTACAACAATGATCTAAATCAACACCAAGGTCATTATTAGTAGCCAGTGCAACACGTTTATTAATCCATGCCTAAACATTGGGTAAGTTGATAAACAGTTAAACAAATGAAAATTATTATCAGTTTCCTGTTGTGAACTTCAAAAAAATAGAAGTACATTCAGAAATTAATTAGAATAAGCAATGCGAAAACGAAAATTCATGGACCTATATTAACTCAGTTTTAAATAAAATATTCCTGGAATACCTCTTAAATCAGAAACGAAATGTGGAAAACTTGAACTTTCTTTTGATATGTCCTTCTAAATAAGATGTCTTACTTCAGCATGCCCTAACGTAAGCAGCATATGTATATAACATTAGTGTGGTGCGTCTTTAGATGGCTTTTAAGAATGTATGTAGAGTGAAAATATGATAAAATTGACGTCTACTGAAACCAATGATTAAATAAGTGGTGAGAAAAATGGCTATAAAGAACAAAGGATTTTCATACGTTACTAGTATCAGATCATAATTGCCTTTAAAACATTGCTTTTATAAGCCTTGACCATCCAGTGAGCGATACTAAGGTTAGGCATTATGTACTACGTGAAATCAGTTGAAGAGGTTACGAGTTTTCATCAACTGAGGTAATTGGAAGATAGTGAGCACGTCTGACCACCGGCTACATCAACTAGCGTGATTTGTTGATGTAATAGGAGGTCGGTAGAGGGCAAGTGTAATTCAAACCAAAACATGACATCAGTTCATGAAGTATTTAACAATTGGATTGAGTCATGTAGGTAGTTCCAGACTACCTGGTTTGGGCAGGTTGTTATTTCATAACCAGCTGTTGGAGACATTTTATGACATGCGCAGTCATAATGGCTTAGACACATTTACTATTTGTCGTACGTTAGATTCAGAATTGCCAAAGTCTTTCATTACTTTGTTTTTTTGCTCCATACATACTACTTTCTATTGCTACTAATATTGTTACTATTCGTAATACTAAAGACTTAGTCCTGATAATTTCACGTAAATGTGCTTATGTAGTTTGATAATTTGAAACAATGTACATATTTGCCAGGTTCTATATTCCACACGACTGACTGATTTGACTGAAGTTAAATATTATGAAGATGCATATGTGAGAAAATGGTTTCTGTTACACTACAGCCAAAATTAATGATTCAGACAACATAATTGTTCGCTTATCATTAGAAAACTAAAGGTTTTGTTAAATGGATGTACTTTTTTTTTTAAATTAATATTTTTTCGGAGGATAAAAATTTATTTTGTATGTGACTGATTTTCGAATATTTAAAACAAACCTTACTTCGTGCTATTAGTGGTAGTCGTTAGTTCAATAACTTTGTTGTATCAGATTCTAATTTGAAAATTACAACCAACTTTTTGACATACAAGATATCGTGGTTTGATGTTACGTATTAAGTAATGCTCTACAAGATAATAATTAAATACTGTTCTAATAATAAATTATGATGAATTCTGCGAGGTTTTGTTTACGAAGAAATAATTTATTAAAATGTCATGAAAATATTCAATCAACAAATTATTACCAGAAACTAATAAAAACATAATAGTTAACTAACATCCACAGTATTATCACTATGTACTCCAACACAGACGCAAAATCTAAAATCTTAAATGCAACTATACAAACAAAAAGGTTCGCTGAATAACCAGATCAAAAGTGGATTTCACTCAATGATGAATTAGTTCAGTAAAACAATATATATAACATATTTTTCACTAACCTCCAATTCATCAGCTTCACGAATTAAACTATATTTAATAGCATTTGCCTCTAACATTGAAGCTACATTATTGACGATACTTTGAAGATTTTTGTATGAATGACTTATACGATACAAACATGATGGAATTAATTTTAAATAAAATTGTGATTCTTGTAAAATATTTGTATCAGGATATTTTGTTTGTTGAATTTTTAATTGTTGGCATAATATTTGACCTTGTTCATTATGATTTTTAACACGTTCATGCCATTGTTCAATTGTATGTGATCGAATCTGATGCTTTTTCAAGTTATTTAATGCATTTTGCTCATTCTAGTAAAATGGTTGAAGAAAATAGACAAACAAATGAAATTTAAGAAATGGTAAAATTAGTAGTAACATTGATTATGTTCTAAATAGGTTTTACTTTAATAATGTTTTATAGAACCAGGAATTTATGTAAATTTTAAAAATTAGATTAAATTCAGTAAACTTTTAAGGGATCCAATGAGGAGAAACCACAGCAATAGAAAATTAAATATTCATGCAGATGAAGATATGTACATATTGTGTAACATAAATGAAAGATCTATCATATACAGGAACAGAGAACAAAAACCTTAATGCAATGGGTTCTACCAAAGTATAGTTGAATAGTACAGTTCATGTGTATATCATTTATTTTAGGGATATTGAAAATTCAGTTGAAACAAGCCATACTAATGAGGAATAATGTCGTAAATTCTCTAAAAAATATTCTCGGCTATAACGTTATTTTTATATGGATTAATCAGAAAAACATTAATCTAATTTATCAGTAAGTAACAACTACTGAAAACAGGATAATTAAAAGTTGTAGTAATTGCTAGTTAATAGTTGTATAAATAACCGGAACGGAATAGAAATAATAAAATTAAAATAAAAACGATAAATTATGGAAGACAGAAAGTGAGGTTTAGACGATGAAAGAATAAAGGAATGAACCTGCTTTTTATGTACGCAAAGATTAGGCTTAAACTAGTGGATGGCAATAGCCTCTGCTTTACATAAGTTTTTCATTTGGATTCCTATTAGGCTGACTCTTCTCACTGTATGTATGGTTTTATAAGAGGCTTCTAGTGAAGCAAAATGGCCGGGATTGACTAGATGCTCTAAGATTTAGCTTCTTATTGACTTCTAGAATCCTTTGGAAAGCCAGGAAAGGTAACGTTTGGAGATAAGTTTCGAAAGAGCTCGTTTTGTGCGGCCAATATAACCTGCTTCACATGAGCAAGTAAACTGGTAGGTGCACATGGATTTGGCCCAAAGAGCAAGCTTATTCTTCACACAACGTCAAAACGGAGGCCGACTAGAAGAGGTTATTCGAAGTTCAGCCGAATAAAATGTTTTTCTCGGGGATCTTAGAAGTCTGGTTTTCAGAATTTCTGCTGCAATATCTTCTCTAAACTGAATTTTAATGGAGAGAGTCTTCTTTGGTGTTGTGGTCACTGTTTTACATCGTTGTTTTGGTTCCATATTTTTCTCAGTGAATCTAGGTGGATATCAGTTGCTGATCAGTATCTGTCGTATTTTATCAAGTTCTACATCGATCGTATCCTCGGTACAGATATACCTAACCCTTGAACAGATTCCTATTTTTCCTTTAATGGGAACTAACTTTGAAATCCGTCTATTGGCCGTTCCATGTTGGCTTTCTATATATCGATCGTTTTAGAGGACCATCAGGTCTTGTTTTTATTAAAACATTTAAGAAGTGGAATTCAGAATCCGACTCTGATTCCATTGTGAAGTTAATAGCTTGATGGCAATTACTGAACGCGTCAAGGATAACGTTGACATTAATATTTTGTCACAAATGATGAAAGTATCGTCTACGCATCTCTTGTACAGATAGAAGTTATCAATTATTGACCTGAGGACAGTATTTTAGAGAATGGCAATAAAACAGTCAGCTAGAAGTAAGATGATTGTTGATATCATTGCTTTACCGTCAATTTGTCACAGTTGAAAAATGCCTTCTTTTTAAGATTTAGTAAATACTGATAAATGTGCACATTTATGGAACGGAGAAAACTCCAAAACATAATATTTAAAGAACACTCTAGTTGGATATGAAATGATTTTATCATCATTTGTACTTCAATAAACAACGCTGTTTTCATTTGTAATATATTTTCAAGTTATAAAATGCAACCAGAAAGGAAAAGGAAAAATGACCTTGAGAAGAAAAAACAAACACACTGTTGAATTCATTGTTGATTATACATTAATTTAGTTAAACAATAAATTATGTGAAGTACTAAAAATTCAAATAAAATTATAATTAAAAAAAAAACTGAATAATTATTTCAATATTCATCAATGATAAAACATAAAAAAAGTCTAAATGGATTGAAACTATTGATGCACATTTGTCATTTCATGTTTTATTAAATTTGTTTGTATTAGATAGATGAAGTTTTATTCATTCGTTGATACAGAACAACCATCTGAAATATCATTTTATCACGCTAACAGACCTGTAATTGTTTATGAATAGATTATTATGCAATTATTGTGTAACTACAGATGTCTTAGTAATATTGCCAGCATCTTCTGGAATCACCGAGTAAGTATTAGTGAGATTAGACGTGTAGGGTATTAGGAAAGGATGGTAAATCAATCAATGAGGTTTTGAACGTTCATCGACTGAGATGGTTGGGCCACGTGTTATGTATGCCTGAACACCGATTACCACGACGCGCAATGCTAACCGGTGTTAGAGATGGTTGGAAGAAAGTTAGGTGCGGCCAAACCAAAACGTGGCATCAGTGCTTGAAGTCACTAACTTTTAGTCCGAGCCATGTTGGTAGATGCAGACTACTTGGTTGGGGTCCGCGTGACTATCGTAACCAATGGTTGGAGACTCTGGGTGACATGGCTCAGAGTCGATCACAATGGCGTAGGTGTATACATTCACTGTCTTCCCTCAAACTATGAGATTAAAACCGCTACACATCTTTCTTTCTACCAACTAATTCTTTCTTCCTGTACTATGTCTTTATATGCAATCTTTCTTTTATATATTATCACCACTGAATTAATCACTTCTATGAATCCGATGTTCATCATGTTGTGCTAATGAGGTATGGCAACTTGGACCAATGTACATACGTGCCTGGTTCTACGTTGTAACTGACTTATTAACTGACTGACATATTCTTCTATTTTTGTCGAAATTAGTAAATATGATGTTGTATGAATTCATGGTCATTTCAGCATCGTAAAACCATGGGTTGATTAAGTCATTTATTCTTAAAAATTTGATAATCAAAAAGTTTGAAACTAGAAATAAATTTAATAAACAAAAGTTATTTTAAAATTGCATGTTATTTTTTGTTTTCAGTTTTTAATAAACCGATGAAACTCTTCAGAGGAATGTGTAGTTTTCTAATAGTATATGTTTATTGGATAAGATTTGTTATTTCTTCGATTTAACTATTTCATAAAGAGATTATTCACATCATTTATCAATAAATAGACTGAATCTGATGGTAGTATTACATTAACGTTTCTAGTTATTTCTAATTGAGGTACATTACCAGTCAATTAGACTAAAGGTTTATTTTGAAATTTTAATAAAAGAATTAATTAAATTCTTCATATCTTCAAATATTTATCCTTTTGATAATCTAAACTTACAAAAATGACCTTATTCGACAAGAATATCGCTAGGTTAGTCATGCCTTGAACAGTATAATAATAACATCACTGACTGTAATAACGTATGGTATAGTTTTAAATCTTACATCTAGTATCGATGAAGTTTCTTATTGCTTTCTGCTCATGAGTCGAAACGATATATCAAGGTAAATGCTTGCTTCTATAGTGTTTTATGTTTATTAACCTCGGCGATCTAACAACAAAGAAGTTTACAAATCATACCTTGACTAATTTATGGATTATGTCACATAGTATCATTAGTAACGATATTAATGTGTGTTTCAGAAACTAATATTTAAAAAGAGAAGAAAATAAATTAACCTTTGGTATTTCTATTCCATGTAAATAAAAATCTTCTTCAGATATCCATGATTCCAATTCACTAGCATCTAATAAAAATTGATAAACTGATTCGGACATTGTTATTCGCCCAAGTAGACAAGTTAAATTTCTATCTAATTTATTCCATAATTCTAAAAGTTCTTGTGTAAGACGTTGAAATCTTTGTTGTTGTATTTTATCGGTGGTTTTCGCTTCTTCTACACAATATTCACTTTCAATGTTCTAATAAATAAACAGAAAATAAAGGAAAACATAATTGATTTGTTTTGGCATAATTCGGAATAAAACAGGCAAACATTTTTTTTTCAAATATAACATTTCTTTACTGGGATTTGTACTTCAATAAACAACGTTGTTTTTCATTCGTAATAAATAAATTCAACCTCATAATCATAAACGACAATGTGAATATTTTTTTTAACCATCATGATATTTCATTTCTTTTTTCCTCTTTCCAATCACTCTTGTGAATCCTTCATAATGATTATTCGATCATGAAGGAACATTTAATTAAATTGCAGTTACACGACTACCACGCATTATATTTGAGTTTGAATAAAGCAATAGTAAGGATTCACATGGAATAGTGTGAATTCACTTTATTTTGTGGATTGTTGTCAGCTGACTGAAATGTAAGTTCAATTCAAACAACGTATTGTATTGAGACTTTTGTTAACCCATTTGTAATGTTAGATTATTTGGGGAATACGTATGCATTTACTGTATAGTTTTGAGTTGCACAACTCTTCAAGCTTACCCAAATCCTTTAAAACTGTTAATTCAAAGTATAATGTTAACCATTTGTTCCCGATAATACCTGCCTTGTTGTGATATTTTCTAAAGTACTTTTCAAATGATTATATATATTTTGATTGAGATCATGAACCGATTGATGTTAGACCACCATTGAAAACCTGGAAGCACTGGGCGGCCGTTTCTTTCTATTGCAAGACTGAAAGCCATGGGTTCAAATCCCACGAGTAGGACCGTGGATGCGCACTGCTGAGAAGTCCCGAGGCAGGACGAAACGGCCGTCTAGTGCTTCCAGGTTTTCAGTGGTGGTCTAGCATCAATCGGTTCATGATTACAATCAAAACTTAACAATCTCCACAAACCCTATATTGATAATTACCATGTGCTCATTAGTGACTAGCTTCGTGAGAAAATTCTCAGAGTTCTGGTGAGAAGCCGTGACCAGTGGAGCTAATCTGTGTCGGGTAGAAACATAATGTCTCCCTCAGTACAATGGAAGATGGGTGCGTAACTTCGTGGATTAGACCACTGAGCCAGCATCCAACGGTCTTAATGTCTGACTTCGTGGATTGGTTGACAGGATCATGGATGCGCAATGCCGAGGAGTCCAATACTAGGACGAATCCGCCGTCCAGTGCTTCCAGGTTCGCCATGGTGGTCTGGCTTCAATTGACTCACGATTTCAACTATTGAAACTGTACATGTTTATTGTGATTAGTTTTCATGAAATGGCTTAGCTACCTTTTTGTGTACAAACAAATGAAACTACTATGAAAATAGGAAAATGAAAATTTCTTTAACGAACAAGCTGATTCCTGTAACTCAACAGTTAATTCCTGACAGAACTACATCCATAAAATTTTACTAAATGTGTTTTTAAAAATTTCAATGGTTTATGTGTAGTGTTTAAAGTGAAAGTGTGAATAAAAAGGAGTCCGATATATTTTCAAATGTATATTGTTGTCATGAATTGATGAATTGTTACAAGGCTGATGCATAACTTTTGATGAGTACAAATGTCATCTGAAACAACTACTATAGATCACAATAAAGTAGTGTTAAACACTTAGCTATATTTTTTTTATTATTTTTGTTGTCATTAACAGTATTTTCACATCCAGTATTTGTTTGTAATTTTTAGGCCCTTTCCGTTTGTATTCTTTACTCTCTAATTATTTACTCACTTCTTACTACGTAATGGTTTTAATGTTTTGTGGTAACTATTCTAAGTCTATTTACCCACGTTTGACCTTCTATTTCCAATGTTTAACCATTGATAAGACTTTTGTTATTGTATTTTATTATTCTTACTACTATCAGTACACCTGTCTTCCTACTATCAACTTGTACTTTTACCCATTATCTATGGTGACTTATTCTATTTCATTGTGATTATTGACCCATATTGCCTTAATTGGTTTAACATTTTCGTATAAATATTCATGTATATCAGAGTAAAGCCTGATAACGATCTAATTGAAAACAATTGTTCACTTAAATGTGTTGTTCTAATTTTCACAATGGGGATCTTTAATATTATCTATATTTGATCACTCATAGTCCATGTTTGATAAACCGATGACCATTTATTGTTAAAATTGATGAAAATAAAAAAAGAATCATTGAAACAAAGTAATGAGAAAATTTTCTACTGATCATATATATTATTCATTTATGAAATGTATTTAATGTGCACCACAGTTTATCAGAAAGGGTTTTGTGAAGATATTAAAAATTTCACTGTTTGAAATCATGAGTCAATTGAAGCTAGACAACCATGGAAAACCTGATGGTCTAGCTTCAATTGACTCATGATTTCAGCCAGTGAAACATTACAGTTTAGTTAGTTTTTAATAAAGTATTATCAGTTCAAATACGTAATATATTAAAGCCATTTTTAAATGGTTGAATAATTTTTAGGTAATAAGCATTTCCTACCGAAGTTATTTCATTACCAGTAATACCCAATCACAGTGGACAAAAATTTCCTTTACAAAAACGTTTCAGTCATTTGAAATTATGAATTACGTGAGTATTATAATGACTGTGATCGTTGATAAAAATAGAATGTAGATGATCAATGTAAGTATTTATGGAAAATCCTATTACTAAATTACCAAATAATCTTTCTAAAAACAATAACCATAGAAAAGATGTTGAAATTTAATTAAACACTTCTAATTGTGTGTGTTTATCAACTTTTGATTAATATACGGTTTCTTGATGTTAATTTCATTGATCTAGAATCATAATGCATGTGAAACAGAGATAACTACATGTAAAGGAACTTTCGAGATTTGGTTATTTGTATCAGACTAATCAAGAATACATCTCATACATTAGAAAAGGACAGATTTATGATTATCATAAGTTCTCCTGTTTCTATGTTATAAAGTATCACGTATTTATTAGTACATATATAACTAAGTAAATGAAACTTATTTGTATGGCACTTGTAAATGTATCAGTAGGCAAGTGATGTTCATATCAATTTTCATGTTGTTTAAATGGTTATACAGTAAAACTTGAACCTAATTAGTTTAATATGATCAAGTGATATAGTAATAACATTCTTTGTAAGTATAACCGTTCATTTTTTCCAGAACAAAATATTACCTTCTTTATTAAGTAAGATAATAGACATAAAAATAATTAAACTTACTTTACATAAAGCTTTAACTCTAGGTCTACGATTATTGGCTTCAAGAATATGACTTTTAAGTTGTCTTTCCAATCTATGTATAACCATTAATCTTTGACCAATTTGATAAGCTTTTTGTGGATCAAGTTCTAGTGTTTTAGATAAATTTTCAACTTGTTGTGATTTTTCTCTGATCCATGCACCTTCAACAGTTAACTCTACAAAATGTTGAGTCGATGTTTCCAAATGTTGTAAATTCGTTAATTTTTGATTGAGTGGTTCGTCTAGCGCTAAAAGTTTACGCTCAAGATCATTGACAATTGGTGCAAATTCTTTATTTTGACTAAAATTAGGATCATTGACTTGACTCTAAAACAATTTAACAAATGGAACAAAAAATATATAGATCATTTAAGAATAATTTAATTATAATCACAGTTAAAACATAATAAGTGTTTGCTTTGAATGATATGAAATTCAAGTTACTAAGATTAAAACACTTTAGAATTGTGAGTAAACTCATAGCTTTGTGTGAAATTAATATATGATCAACTCAGGTATATATATATATATATTTCCTGAAACAGAACATCGTAATTTCATTTATACTACTGCATTATCATCATCGTGCATTATTTTTGTGATCAAACATATCACTCAAAATTTGTAACGAAACACAAAATATCCTCTGATTTACATTTTATAATGGTACAACAAAAACAATGATTATTGGTTATGCTTAACACTTATTATTGTAAGAGGTAATGTATAGTGATCAAAAATAAAAGTGAATTTAATTGAAAAACCTATAGAATGTAACATGAAAGTGTTTAAGGACTCTAACTTCAGAGTTCATTATTCAGATATGGCAGTTAAAATGTCTTCTTAGTATGTTTCATCGTCCTAGAGTTTCTTATTAAAAAATATGATCCGTTTGTGTTCACATATACGTCTTAAAATTATTCTGTTCTGATTACAAGATTTCATAACTGACTTTTTGTAAAAAATTTAATCTTCACATTAACCGTTTGTTTGTTGAATAATGATCAAGTTCTTTGTGTTCGAAATAGAATTATCGAAATAGAACATTCTTCAACAATAAATTAGGTACCTTGAAATTTTACGGTTAATAAGTAGACGTGATATTTGATTTTGCAGATGTATAACGGATTTGTGTTACTTAAGTAAAAAAAATGTGTTCTTTGAAAATTCTTAGCGGCAACCACCCAGACCCTCATACTGTTCATGACCCAAGATCAATCTGCCTCACGGGGAATATGATCTTTTTAGCTCGTTAAGTCCGAATCTACTGTTCTGTATTCATTATTCTCGTTTTCGAGATATAAGGTAAGGATTATCTAATCCAACCACTGACAACTACTTCACTTGAGATTAAATCAAAATTCCTGTAGATCTTCAAGAATTTATCTACTATCAATTCAATAATAATGACCATATGGTCACTATTTAATTTAATAGCTAGCGCAGCTTAATTCAAATGGAATATAACCATTGAGACATAAAATGAAAAAAGATTGATTCACTATTATCGTCATGATTATCATTTTCTCAAAAATAAGTATATATTTGAGATGGTATAGCTTCGAAAATGAATTCTCCGAAAAACAGAACTCTCCGCTGAGCCAATCATTCTTATTTTATTGCTTAGTTTAATCTGAATACGATTTTAGTGACAAGCTGACATTAGGTGGATAATAGTTAAAAAAAACTATAGAGTACTGAATAGATATTTCATTCTACTTTTAAAAACCTTAATCATAAATGTCTATAAGTGAAAATTTACAAACGTTTAAAGTGACGTATTTTTTCTCTGCCTCCAAATGCCCTGGTACGGCCGAGAGTGAGGAGAGTCCGCTCTCCCTCTCGAAATGCTCTCATATGGCCACGCGTATATATCCTCTGCCAGGGAAGTCCTACTCACTGCCTTCTCATGGCGGGGGTGTTGTTTACGAAAACGAGAGGATGAAAAGCGAATGTCCGGCGCTTTAACCGGATTCCAAATCAATGGTGCACATGGGCTCCAGTATCCTGCAGGAACAAATGGCGTATGAACCAATTGTTGGTCACCGGCCACCGTGGGACTGCATCTCCTTACGTTGCTCCACTGCCTTGTGGATCAGACCTTCAGGTCGAAGGCTCGGGGTGTGGCCCCCTAAGAAAACCACCTGCTTCGGTTTGGGCACCCGGGCAGTATCACAGCCCTCACACATATCGAATGGGATTTGTGTGGCGCATATATATTTGGTGCCTCCTTGTACCAATGTCTATGTGTTAAAATAAATAAATAAATAAACTCTGTAACCAACATGTTTTGTTTTATGACAGCATAATACATTACTAATGCATACAGATAATAATACATCTATACGCTAATACTCATGAATACATAGGAAAGAGTTCATTCAAGTTAATTAGTAAAATATAATTCAAAGTATAAAACATTCATTTAATATGATTAATTGATAAACAAACTTTTAAAATCAACTATTAAACATCTATTCACATATGAATAATTAAACAATGATTTATGGTTTATGTTGTTGAGAATGGTAAAAAGTACACATCAATTGAAATAAGAATTATTCAACTTTTACAAACTCTTTTCTTTGTCACTTTATTCACCTTTAAAACATTGATAACAGCTTTTCTATCCATATAATCTTTAATTCGTTTATTATGTTCTTTTATTTGTGTTTGTAATGTAGTCATATCGATTTGATCAACTGGTAATTTACTATCTGGTTTCTCTAATTGAACATTCATTACATTAAGCCATGTAGCAGTTTTATGAATTGCCTCTTTCATTAACTTTTCTACATTGTCATATAAACAATGAAGACAAAATAATGACACAATTAATTAATTATTAGTTCGAATGAAAAATGAATAAAAATTAATCATTTAGTGATTTGAAAAAAAATCTTCAGGTCAATTACATTTATTAGTTTGTTTCTCAGAAATACAACACATAATTAACAAAAAATTTTCTTAATGTAGCAACGTTTCTTAAATGAAAGTAAGTTGTTTTTTATAAACAACAGATCTAATTAGTTGTCGAATAGTTAAGATTGACTTCTATTTCAAATATGCGTTGATGATATTATTAAGAACAACAGTGAATTACGTAAGTAAACGATTCTCTAAAGAGAATCCAATACAAACAAATGGATACGAATTGATGTAACATGACTGAATGCTGTTAACGAGGAGCACTGGACCAAAGTTGATCGAAAAAATACTCAGCAAACACTAATTACTGACAATATCTCTGCTCATGATAACAGATTATATAGGTTCGAATCCTAAGGAGACCATTAAATGTCCTTGATCAATACGTATGTGTAAGTGATAGGTTTCGACTAGCGTGGAACCTATGTCTGAAGCTATAATAAATGATCTACTAAACAAAATGTAATGCGATGTCAAATCACTCAAACGAACGAACATATTGTGAATCGTTGGATGTAATTTCACCAGAACTAATGTTAAGACAACATAACATCATTTACTACTTGGTGATAATTTAGTTTAAAAGCAAATTGAAACTATTACCAAACCCTCATTTTCAGTGTTTTGGGTCATTTTTAAATATTCTCCATTGTATAATTCTTGTGAGAAACATCCATGCGCCAAACATATGAAGCAATGAAAAAGATGCTATATGAACAAAACTAATCGGAATAGTTTTGTAGATGGTGATAAACGCTACCTGATCAATGTTCAAGTCATGTTTTTACGCATTTCGAATATCAGCAAGCTAACTACATAGTAAACGAGAATTTATTGCAATATTGTAAATTTAAATTGCAAATTTTTTACTGTGATCAAACATATGATGTTACATTAAGTGTTCGTTATTGTTACATTACTGATGTTACGTTGTATTTTTCAATTCTGTGTTAATCTAGGCGTTTCATTCAACTTGCAACTTGATTTAATTAATTGATACTTATCAGTTATTTTAAGGTAGAAAGTCTCAAGAAACCGTATTATACATGTAATTCTAAATATATCACCTCCAGAACTGAAAATATTGACACTAGATCATTTATTAAATCTTGAAAGCAGAGATTTAAAACAGGTCCTAAGGATTTTCAAGTCACTACCAGTCAGTACATGAAAATCTATTTTTGTCTTCACAATCAAGAAAAAAGTATTTACCGTACTTACCTCGATTATCTTGACTAACTACATTTACAATATGTCGAACTAGGTCAATTAGTTCTTCCCAACGTGTATGCAAACGTTCCAAACGATTTTTTACATCATTTTCAAGATGTGGATAGACTTCTGTAAGTTTACGACCGACCTAAAATCAAGAGGAATTTCAAGTTCATAAAGCTTTCGGTTACTAACTGCAAAAGGCTATACGTTTTCATATACAAAAAAACTATGCGATGGCAACACGTTTGCTTAGCTCAACAGTTTTTAGTAGATGTCTCTAACACATCAAGAATACGTGGTGCACCAGTTTGACATTTAATTTATCGTCTATATTCTTTAGCTTTGAACATTGATATACTTCAACCTTTATTATACGGATGCTTCGCTTCTATTGATTCACCTATTTACACAACATTTTCTGTCTCTAGAATTGAAGTTGGGAACGAAGCTTCTATTACTAGGATACTTTGATCACCTAGACCAACAGATGTCCTATTAACCAGCTTATTTACATGACAAACTAGACTGCATCGCACCCGAAAATATAAATCATGGTCATTACATGAACAGGCCAAGAATGACTATGAACAGAAAAAACTGTAAATAAATGTTTAGCAGTAAGTTAAGAATAACAAGGTATGTAATAATGGTTAATGTATCAAACGAAAGCCTACAAGGACTGGTATATGTAAACATAGTATCCCAGTTGTTTAGCGATTATAAAGTAAGACTAAAAATAATAATTGTCTTAGAAATTGTTCCGAAACTTTCAATTGCTCTAATACTTGTTCCGTTGTAACAGGTTTGAATTCATATTTATGACAAAAAAAATTTCTGGTATAGATACGATTATCGATTACAGATATTATTCATGTGTAGAATCGATGACGTTACTGAATAAATATTTTTCTAGACTCCGTTGCTTTCTTGATTTATGTATTTCAGATTGGTCATGAATAAAACATATGGTCAATTTCATCTTTTCAGTTACTTGAAGTATACAAATTATTAACTGTAAAACACGAAACCCATCACTATCAAGATTTAACTAGACAAGTTCAGATAAATTAAGCATTATTTATAATAATAAAGGAGACTGGGTTCAGTACTTCATGCTAACTTGTACTGCGATTGATAGACAGGGTGGCCTGGCTAGAATCTTTCCAAACTGTTACATTTAACCGATTCAACATCATAGCGAAAAAGCATGAAGGTCGTCCATTAACATTACGAACATTACATTTATCACACTCAATCGCATATACACTAATACACAAAAGAATATCTCATATAGAATTACATTTGACGTGGTTGATATGGCATACACATGATTGAAATTATATATATGCTTTATGTATTTCATTGGATTTGTTCCATTAAACTTAATATGCATGTTTATGTGGTTGTATTGTGTTGATTTCAACGAAATATTTGTTGAATAACAAATTTATAATAGGCAAAGCGACCATGAAGGGCATAGTACTCTTAGTTAGACTTGATTACTTATTTACAAGGATTATTTTCTGTAATACTCAACGTGATTATTACTATTACAACTGACTCTATTAATCTAATTCTTGAAACAACAACATATCCCCTTGTCACATGACATGGGCTTTAAACACCTACTTGAATACTAAAATTAGACAACCTAGTAATATTCTCATTAGTCAATACGATCGCTGAATGAAAATTCAATCAACGTACACAAATTAGCCAGTTCATAATTTGACCGAGTTATGAACCATAGCGATTGTATAAGCACAGTTAAGGGAAATTCAAACATATGATTGATTTACACAGTGGAATTCGATAAATTCTGTCATTCATATTACTTATGTTGTATATCATTAATTGTTAATTTATACTACCAATTTTATCGAAGGATATAAAACCAGTTATAGCAATTTACTTGCCAGTTTTTAAGTTCAATGAACTTATTTAATTTTTCAAAAAGACGGTTATCAAAAATCTTAATGTATATAAAATGACGATTTATTTACAAGTATTATTATGTAATAAGTATTTAACGTCCTAATAATGAGGCATTCTTTTACAATGTGAACCTATTTCGAAGTAAGTTCAATTCTGTTTAAAAAAGAAAGTTTTTATGAAAAACAAACTTGATAAACAATATAGCCTATCAGATGAATAGATTCGAGTGGGAAAATATACCAATGTTCATAGTCAACGCAAAGTATATATTCGTAAATCCGTAGATGTTCATTTACTTGCTTCTTTACAAAGTAACTTATTCTAATTACAGTCATCATTTAGGTCTATCATCTGTCAAACAAACTTTCATTGTTTCAATGTACGACGAAAGTTTTTAGTAGTTTTAAGGAAACAAAAACTTTGTAGTAAATGAGATGAAATGAGGTTAGCCTTGGATCTACATTTGACCCAGGTTAGTAAGATTTATCACAGTTTCAACTGATGGTCCATCAGTAATTCGAAACAGCATTTTCAAAGGATATGGCTCGAAGCGCTAATATTGAGCAATTGGAAACCAGATTATTTCCAACATAGACCCGTGAATAGCAATGAATATATTGTTGTCAAATGCACTTCATTACAACTCTATATACGCATTATTGAAGACTTCTTAAAATCACTGAGTATGCATCAAGTGATTTATGAGCATTATCTTCGATAACCCAATGTTAAACTACTTAACCAGAAAGGTGAATCATAAAGTTTTGCAATAATATTAAAAGTGTAATTGAAGGTTTATCATCACCACAAAGTACTAAGCACGGTAATGACCTTTATCATTTGATGAACAATTTAATTAAATTATAATGAATGAAAATTCAATTTTAACTAACCTCAATAAAATGATCACCGCGATTTCGATTCACTTCAATTTCGTCTTCAAATGCTTTAATCCGACTAAAGGATAAATGTGATCGTTGTCTGATCGCTAATTGAATTTCCATTAGACAGTTAGTTTTATCTAAAATCCAATCTTCAAACTATAAAAGATGAAAAAAGCATTATAAATGAATATTCTTAGTGAGTAAAAATGATCCAAAAAAGATAAAAACTGATATTAAGTGGCAACTTATTCTACTTATATATTTTTTCAATCAGTCAAACGCCATGTCAACTCATTATTTAAATGACATTAGAAAAACGAGATGTTTCATCTTGTGAAACGAACAAATGAACGTATAGCTCAATCAAGATAACTACACTAAGCTCATATGAAATGAGAAAAGAATTGACGACATGGTATACAGAAGGAGAAAGAGATTGTCAAGAAATAAGCTGCTGAAAAGAAACAGGCATATTTCAAATACAGGCTTACATTGTCATGAAAAATTTATTAGGCAGATCGATGGGTAGATAGATAATATGTCAAGGTATGACAACAGCATAATTAAATACATCTTATACCTGTAAAGGTATAACAGAAGAACGGAAATAAGCACTATTTCAATTGGGAATATCACCAATATATCTGTGGCTTGAAGGAATAGATAAAACTATATATATTTACTACTTATCAATCTATTTAGTTACACTTCTTTAACTTTATTCAAATAGTATTTAATAGTGAGACCCAAGATGTACATTTCGTTCAAATTCAAACTTCATTTTAATGATAATGATGATGAACATGACAGTTGTTTTGTGACTTATAATCAATAGTTTAATATCCCAGGTCATTATTAATGAAGGGATTAAATGTTGGCTAAGAATGAACAAGTCCAGTTGTGAATATTAATAATAGAAAATAATATACTTGATTAGCAAAGATGGATAGTGGTTAGCAGTGAAATCCAGGACGCGCGTTTCGTCCTATTTGGGAGTCGTGAGCTGGATGTACCTCCATCTCAGAGTTGATGATCACCCTTGGACTTGAACCCAGCTGACAAGCCCCAAATAGGACGAAACGCGTGTCCTGGATTCCACTGCTAGCCGCCATCAATCATTACTTATAATGCTAGTGAATTAAAGCAATATCGAAGCAATACGCACAGTATGCAAATATGCCAATAAGAGACTGATCAATTGCAGTCCTAAACATCAATGGGAAGTTTCAAGTAAACAATACCAAGTGAAATAAACTTTATTGTTTTGTATTTTGTTTAGTTAGTAATTGTCATTTGTTATTTTGAAATAATTACTTTCCTCTGTGAATCCATATTATTTTATTTATCCATAATAACAATAATAATAATAGTAGTAGTAGTACTAATACTAATAATTTAAGAACAAAACAATTAACAGCCATCTAAATGTAATGAATTAAAATTTCTTTTAGAAAGTATACAATAATAAGCCTTTTTTATTAAATACCAGGGAAAAGGAGCGGCTTTTCAATTAACAAATAATAATAATAATGTTGAACTAAAGTTGTTTATACTAATAATATGAATTTTGTAAGTACTCTAGAACTACTTAGATAAATCATGAAAAAATTATCGTCGGTAACTAATTATAGTTGACTATAAGAGTGAAATAGTTTTTTTGTTTTATATATTCACCTCAGTAAACGCGGTTAATCTGTTATGATCATTGTAAATGTTTGCGATTTCTATGAACTGTATTATAGGTAATTATTTTGAATTTTATAAGACTACAATAAGTTAAACCATTTTCATACAGTAACATCAGACAGTTATTTTTGAATGTAATTATTATATTTGTCTAATTTATACAAGCGTTCAAATTTATGCTTCTATAACTGAAGTGTAATTGTTAAGCTAGTATACCCGACAACAAGATTCAATACATTCACGTTTCGAAACTTTTATTTTGAAAATCAGTAAATTAGGGGAATATCTCATGAAGTTAATTTAACTACTCAAATTTATCAAAACATTTTTAATCTAAAATCAACAGTACTAAAAAGCTATTTTTTCTATGAGACAACTGACCAAATTACAAATGATATAATCGTTAGTAAACAATAATTAGAGATATGTATTTTATTAGCTTCGATGCTCCAGATGATCATTTTATTTTTCAATATCATTGAGAAATTGAATAGTTTTACATATAATCATGTTGAATTATTCGATTATTTAACTTTATAGTGTATATTATTCTGTCAGTATAAAATCCGTAAATTAGAACTATATACTGTTTTCATTCTCGAACTTATTGTTGTTATATTTGAAAACATTACAAACATAAGTGTAAAAAAAAGCACAATGATCTTTTAAAATGTTGATTGAATAAGCAATGTGGTGTGTGCTACTGATGTCGACAAATATAAGTAGTATGCAATATCAATCGAAATTGAAATACCTGGCATCTGAAGGTTAAGAAGATCAAAGAAACGCGAACGAGAACAGAGAATGATTGCTATGGAAATGAAGAAACACTAAAGTCTGAGATGACTGACTGACATTTTGCAAATTAAGTATTTACTGTATGGTTCTCAGATTTTACTACAATGTTCTGTAATTTTGTGTTCAAATATATTTGGTTGTCCTCACTTGTGTTCTTATTCACTATAGCAGTTTCCTACCATTGACCAGTGATCATGTACAATTTTCGTTAATGCAGTTACTTTGACCCTAATAAATGTACTTAATTCAATAGTATAGTATTCTACTATCAAACCGAATGAGGTTCTAATAAAACTGTTTAGAACTGTCATTTTCGGTGATAATTAAGTCGTAGTTGTAAATTGTTTATAGAAAAGACAAAATCTTAACTGAAAGCATAGCAAGGAGTGTATTAATCAATTTATTAAAATCATTTTCAGCAACATGAAACTCACAAGACAGTTGGAACCATTTCTACACTACCTTATCGTGAATAATGCGACTTAAGTTGGAAACTTTCCTAGATGCGTTAACACAAAGGTATCATAACCTTAACTAAATATACAACACAACGACCTTATAATTTCTAAGAAAATAGTATGTGGTTCATTCGGGAAAATAAGATGATAGAGTAGTAACCAGAGTTTAAAAAAGTCAATTATTTAACGGCTTTTTTATCAGAGCAGTCCAAAGTATTTCTTGTTATACAGAACCAACCATTATATAAAGTCTTATTATACATTACAAATCATAAATATAACAAACAAGTATGCTTTAATAACTTCATACCACACAACATCGATTAACTTCGTATCTACATAAGAATTAATCAGTAATCATTTGACATAGATTAGTGTATTATTTATATTTTAGTTAATCAAATGAAAAAATGTATTTGCCATATAGGTTTAAAAATACTAATGCAGAAAATGTGGGAATGCTAATCAACATTCAGATGACTAGTGATAAGATTAATCACTGAGGACAACATTAAGCCGACTTATCAACCAATTGCAGGTTTAGATACTGATATTAATCAGTTAGTATGAATGCCATCTCACACTATGATAGTGAAACAATCAAGAAAAAAATATTGCATTGCAGGATGCAACGAGATAGATTTAAAAGTTGTAATGTTACTATGACAATATTTTTTATTAGAAGTAAATCTTATTATCACCTAGGATAATAAAGAATACCCTACAAAAGGCAGCTTTAGATTAGACAACTTAGAGTCTTGGAAATTTTCTTACTACTTTACTCTTTTTCATACAAATACATAAACGACAAGTTGTAAAACAAAACTATGATCAAGACAATTATTTTATGAGGTAGAATACTCATATTCTAAACTGAATTTCGTCTAACAGTTAGTGATATCATTCATTATTACCAATTTGTTTGTAAACAATGAAACAGTTATTGATAAAATACTACAATGATGTTAACACTGTGATATGACGAGATTAAAAGGTAAAATCAAATTTTGACTTGTGATTTTTGGCCAACATTACTTTCAATTGTTAATTCGATATGAGGCTTATTCAGTGTAATATTTCTTTTGTTTGTCAGTGTGATCATTTATTCACTACAACATTAATTTATTTAAATGTGATGTGTTTTTTCAAGATGCAATATTCCTTATATTAAATTAAAATGAACTATGTCCAGCATGATATGTAGCATGCGATTTGTTGGGCATTTTTCATATATGTGATTCTGTCCTTATCATTAATTAAAATGGGTGTGCAATCAGTATATAGATGAGTATATTTTAGACTAAGATCGTCATCATGTTTAAGATTTAATTAATCTATACTTGTATCAGTTTTGTCTTCTTACTTCGCGTCGTGGGAATTTCAGTACGTCCTCGTTTGTTTGTTCTTTTAAGTACAAGTAATAAACAGCGCGAAAATAGCATGTCATGTTTGCCCATGAACAACTATAACATGTAAAATTGATTAAGTAGATTATGGAATTATATATAAAACTTTGTTACAATAATCACATGCTCATGAAAAGTGTTATAAACAGAATGCCGTAGTAACCAAGCGATTACAGAGAAGGACAGAGGGACAATGTTCAGTCAAAACATTTTTTAAAAAGTCTACAAAGATTTTTAGTTAGTTAAAGTATAGAAAAAAATCTCTTTACTTATGGAAAACAAGTTATGGAAAAAATCATTCAATATTAATGTCTAACACGATAGTATTATGTGTTTCAGCTACAAAAAAGTGTCTGGTGTATTATTTGGCAAGGATACATTCTTAAAAAAATCATGCGTGGAAATTATATTTGTATAAGGGGGATTGATGTAGTACAGATATCCAGAATTTCGTATTATAATAACATTCTCTCTATCACTAAAGTATTGAACATAATCTTTACAGATAAATCAATGCATTAAAAAATTGCCTACTTTATTGAAGTGAGTCCAGGGAAATTATTTGCTTTCAATTAATGTAGAGATGACTGGACTATGTGCAACATATACCTGGTCATTAACTCAAAATTTTCAGATCACCATAATACGATAGGTTAGTCTGAATTCTTATAAATGCCCCTACTTTAATGGCTTCATAAATGATAAACAATGTGGTACAGCATTATTTCATTAGTTAACATGCATTTGTTCATGAGTGATACATTAGTTTTGTTTATTTGGAATGTATCACTATATATTTAAATCCCCGTTGTTTTTCAAAGGTAATGAGTTAACTAAGCAAAAAATAAACGCAATTCACTAACAGTCGATTACAAATCTTTATACATATATATATGGACAATAAACTCATAAATGGTAAATTACAATATACTTACATCTTCCAGTTCTTCATAAAATTCATAAAGTTGTGCCTTTTCTTGTAAATATTCAATTCGTTCTTCTGTTTTAATTTTATTGGCTTCATATCTTCAGGAAATATTGTAATAAGATTTTTAAAAAAACTTAGATAAATCAAGTCATTTTTTAAGTGCAAATGAATATCGTTATTCAACAGATGGATTCAACTAGGATCATGTAGCGTTCTGAAATTTCTCTTCAACAAATTAACCATTAGCACTTTTTCATAAAACATCATTTCTCTAACTGTTATTATCTTAAGTCATTCGATGAACAACCTATTTATAGATCATCTTATCTAATTCATGTGATATATTTAAGTAAAATTAATATCTGGTTAGTAAGTTAATGTTTCATTTTCTTAGGTGTCCTGGAATGAACTCTAGTGTTGCAGACTTCATGGTAGGTGAGTTACTTTTGTTCTTAGAAGTTATAAAAGTAAGTAGCTCAAATATATTTTTTAATATAACATTGTATTCCTCAAAGTCATCTAGCAAATAATGTGTTTCATAGATGAAGTTGTTCAAGGAAATTATTTATCAAAAACTAGTCAGTTATTTCGATCAATTTTGTTCAATTTTATTTATATGAAGAACACTCGATTAATTTGATCACTTCAACAATAAACACCTATAAATAAATATTGATTTCTGATAAAATAAATAATGTTAACATCTCTAATTTACACCTTATAACTAATTCATATTTCCGACTTGTCCTAAATGCAATTCAACTGTAACAAATAACGATTTCTTAACAATTTCCTGATTAATATCAGATGGGTTTTGTGTATATTACGGTAATTTCAATGGTTAAGATCATGAGTCAGTTGAAGCTAGACCACCACGGAAAACCTGGAAGTACTGGATGGTCGTTTCGTCCTATTGTGGGACTCCTCAGCAGTGCGCATCCACGACCCCCTTTACATTCCTACTTTTATAATTTACACGTTATAGATTAATTAAAAAAATATGTCCAATACTGTTTTTCTGTCCTTGAAGTAGACTATTCCAAATCTTGTGACAATATACAGTTGATCCGGATTAGTTAACCATTAACAAACAATCAATAATATCAATTCAATCTCTATGATTCAATAAAGCAAAATAATTATTAAATGTTAACTAGAATGGGAATAATCTTATGACAAGATTCATGTCTCATATGGATTGAAGTGGATACTGACTAAAAACATTGGATGATTGATGGTGAATAATAATGATATTTAATAATATAACGTAGGTATAAAGACGAACGATGTAGACAATCTTTATTGAAAACAGCTTTTACATCAAACGTATATGTATATGTATAAGTATATCTGTACGAATCAACAGTAAACTTTATCGTTTATTAAAACAATTGGATATCTTTTTTTCAAAAATCCAAAACATTTTTTCAATTACCTTACATTTTTGTAATTAAATTATTACTTTTCCTTTACTCTTTACTCCCTGCCTTTTTTTCCTAGTAATAAAATATCTAGACGATGTCATGACAACCAAGTCTTCATTAAGGTAATATCACTAATAACAACACTGGTAATCAAGATAACAATAATGATGATGACAATAATTTTGATAAAAGTCATTTATCTCAAAGTAATACCGATAACATAGGAGAGAGAAAAAACCACAACTACGATGTACATAACCCTTTCATAAAATGATTATTTATTTGGGTGCAAAAACTAATCTCAATTTAATTCTACCACTGTTAATATGTTACAGATTTTATGTGATTTTACTTTTTAAGGTGAAATCTCAACTATTATAGTAAAAATGATAAGCATTATGAACTATGAATGTGTGTTCTATGAAGCTACTTAATCAATATGGTCCATTAACTTCGTTAGATGATGATTTGTTTCCACTCGTAAAAATAATTTTAAAAACTATATTATAATAACAAAATCTACAGTAATAATTGTTTGTCATTTATTCGCCTTGGTTTTTGCTAACTCTTAAACTGATATAACTCAAACATTACACTTTAACAATCCGTTAAGCGAAAAATGTAAAACGTCAACTAAAGATGCCTTACGGATGGATTAAGATCTACGTAAAAAGAAACACAATATTACGTTTGGGATCACATTATTAAAAAAATGGGTCACATATGATCTTAATTACATAACCAGAATAGTATATACTTCAGCGAAATAAAAAAACAATACTAAATAAAACGCCCGTAACAAAATACACAGTAATTCTTCATAAGAAAGAAACTTTATTATCCAATTTTAAATAAAGATCTTCGAATCAATCTTTAAGCTTTCTCATGAGATCGATGAACAGCGGAGAAAAGAACTATATTACGAACTTCTGAGTTACCATTCTCCATCTTATCATTGAATACATAATTAATCAAGCATTCCCTTGGTTTTTTAACTTTAATTTGAAACAGATAATCAGTTTGTTCCTTTTAAGAAGGTAGTTGCAAATTACCCTCTGAAGTTGCTTAGTCTTAGCCAATATAATGTAGCATAACATGTACTATTGGATATGGTCATAAATTAAATTATCCTAACTAGTTTCTCTTATTAATTCCAATCGGTTTTTTATCATGGTTAATCAATTATTTCTTCACTGATAATTTTTATCCTCAATGTCTTTTATAAGAATAGCAAAATCTTAGAGGAAATATACAAAACAGATTACCTAGATTTATTTTAAAATAAATAATGCATTTGAACGTATTTGTATAGTGAATGCCTGACGATAGTAGAATTGATCATACTTCGTTAAAAGTAGAGTAGTTTCAGTTAACTTTTTGAATATAATTTGCCAGTAATATATATTATTTTCTTAGAAAAAGTACATTTAAGCGCTAACAGCTTAAACTGTTAAAACAAATTAGTAAATAATCAAATTACTATATAATTGAGTGTTATGTTTAGTCATACTTGTGTAGTTTTGATGATCTTATTCATGGTTACTGATAATATTCTCAAGACCACCTACAATTCACGGATGTATTAAGGATAAACGTCCTCGTTGGACTAAATCGATGTTCATCTATAAATTTACTTGCTCCTGTTAGACAGGTTACATTGGCCGTTCAAAACAACCACTTTCTAAACGCATCTTAGAACATTACTTGACTTGGCTTTTAAAAGAGAATAAAAACCAGTTACCAGTTCAATACAGCAGCATTTAATCAATCCTGAACACGTGTCTCCGAAGGAGTCTTCCCCTAAATTATCTACGCAATAAAAGGTACTGGATCGAAGGGAGGTTGAATTAAAACGTATGCACTGTTGAGACATTGGCGATCCACCAATTCAAGCACGAACTCTATGTGTAAAAACGATACGTCCAACCGCTCATCCTTGCTTGGCCCTAAATGTCTTTTGTAGTATATTTCGTTTATTTAATTACTGTTTTGTAATTTTAAACCATAATCAGTTATTATTATTATTATTAATGGCTTTATTTGGGTGCAAAAATTAATCTCAATTTAATTGTACCACTGTTAATATGTTACAGATATGTTACAGTATCCCTTAACAATTTTTCATCATTATTCAGTTATTATTATGATCTTTTTGTTTTTCGTTTTTCTTCATGTCTGTCAAGCGGACAATTATCTTTCATAATTTTGACCCGTAAATTATATTCATTTTTCTATTCTTATCTAACCTCCCGACTATTACGTAACCTCATGCGATAATTGGAGTCTCGAATCTCTTTATGATGCAATCTTTTCTATCCTTCTATAGACAAATATTTACCATACAACTATAAATACGAATGTACAGCTTAAGTAAATTATTTCGTCGAAAAGAAAATCTTCACTGAATTCTCCTTATTTCTATTCAATCACATGATGGGTTATTTTGACTATCATATGTACATTAGTGAAATGAGGTCATTCTATAGTTAAGAATACTACTGATTTATTGGCTCTGTAGTCGAGGCCAAGGTAATAGAAGAGATTGAGTATATTTCATTTGTAAACATTGTTCCCGCTTTTTAACCTGAAGAACTATTGCTTCTGCCATCTGAATAACTTTGAGTAAGACATAATTTGGCAAAAATTTATAACTCGACAAATTATTGGGAAATATTGACTTAAACTAGAACTATAATCAGTTTACATTTAATGGGCGAGAACTGAGCTGTTGTCTTGTCTACAACTTTGCTTAGCCACACTGGAAAATGTTTACGAGCATGAAAATGCAAATTAGACCCACATAACTTGTTCACTAGTCGAATTTGTAAACACAAAACGAGATTGTTATTCTAGTTAGTTCATCTGAAAGTCCTCAAATGGTGGAAGCGACAGTCATTGTGATCAAAAACATGAAAATTTGCACACAAACATTCACATCTTCATCAATGGAACTTACTTTTGTTGAAATAATTCACATTTAGCTAATGCACGATCACGATTTGCTGGATTGTTTTCTGCTATATTCCTACCTAATTCTAAAGCGGCATCAACTCGATCTTTACAAGCCAATAAGGAAAACCTAAATGTTTCATATTGTTTTTGAATATCACGAACAGCATCTAGGTTTGTCTATAAATGTAACCGTGTATAGAAATAAATAAGTCAATGAAATAAAAATATACTGTAACATAAATAGATAAATGTATTTTCAAATGTTTTCTTCTGTATTAACTTTTGAAGAAGAACCCGAATATTGAAGTTCAGTCTCATCAAAACTTCCAATTTACATCTTCAGTAAGCAGATTATGTATCAATGCAAACGTTTCAGGTGGTATGTTAGATTATCTGTTTATAGAAGTATATAGTTAAAGGTTTGCTATAACCATTGTGATTATAAAATACATTATTAAGAAAGCTTTACACAACGAAATGTCACAAAGCTTTAATTGTGAATCCTGATAGAATAACTCATATTACAACTACACAATAACAATAAAAACATATGATTGACTATAAATCCCCATTAAATTAAAAACAAAAATATATGAACGAAGAATACTCTTTTCAGATACTACAATTATATATCCAAATTCATCTGATAATTGACCAGGTTTAAGTTAAAGTGTATCGTTGTGGATTGCGAATTTAGGATTATTTGTAGAATAACATAAAATTATTACTGTTGAAATGCCTAATATGAAATGTTAAATGAAATTGTGAGATCAACGATCTGAATAAATATGGTTAACATGGGGTTAGAAAGGTTATTTTGTAATTACAAATCAAAATAAATATTTGGTCAAGAATCATGTAAGATGTGTACGATAAAAGGAATTGGGTAACAATTAGTAAATAGGGTGGCTTGATAAATACATTCCCCAAAACGTTTATAAGCGTTATAATAATAATAATATGTGTGAATAAGTTTAAGCTATAAAAATGCAAAAAGGGAAGTTATATGAATATTAATCAAAATATGACACCATATCATCGAAATGATTGTTAGCTGATTGAGCCTGAAGTTGGCAAAGAACAAAAAATCGTTGAACATTTCGCCTCTGTAACCAAAGCTCTAGTTTGGTGATCCGAATAACTCTTGGTTGGTTCAGTCATATGGAGGATTCTTAGTCTGATAGGTTTAGGCAGATTACTGTTCACACGATATATTACTGTAAATGATTGTTCTTTATTGGATGTATGGTCTGTTTTTACTAAATTAGATAGAATCCAGATGTTAACAGTGCTAACTATGTCTTTACTTAACTGCACTTAGAGGTACTCGGGAGCACGAAAATAAAAATTCCTAGAACATCTGCCAATATAACTTGTCCACAAGCGAAGTTGAATTGATAGATACAGGAAGAAGTAGAAACTATCATGTAATTTATCCTTCAATCTCGGAGTGACCATCGGAGATGTAGAAAACACCAACCGTAGTTTCTCTGCATTAACGATTCGTTGGATTGCTCTGTGCAACTTTAGTTTTTACAATTTCTATGGACACATCGCCTCTAGATTGTAAGCGTATATACTGGTGCAAGTGATTGTTTAGGTTTCTTCTTAGTGACTCATCTAATCTCCTTGTAACTAGAACATCTAGATAAGCTATTCTACCTCTATTTTCCTCCACAAATGTGAATTTTATAGACGGGTGAGCTTCATCAAATCTCTAGAGGGTTCTTACCCGGTCAGTATGGCCTTTACAAAGAATGAACATATCGTCCATATATTGTCAGTAAAATAAACTTTTCAGTATTCTATGCCAGTGTACCGTTTTCTAGTTTAGCGAGAAAAACGTCAGCCAATATGGGACATAGTACTGAACCCATAGCGAAACAGTCTGTTTCCATATAATTCCCTGATAAAGATGAAGTTCACGTTCATTGTACACTTTAGTTATCATTTCTTAATGATGTGAACAAGAATTATGGCCTCTGCTTACTGTTCTTTAAGTTGTTCACAAACATATTTGACAGTCTCCCTGAGTGGGACATTCGTGAACAATGATGATACGTCTAAGCAAATCTTATAAGTAAACGAAAGAGATTTAGCTAAATATGTTTTGATTTTTACATCATTTCAAAATTTCAGTTTAAGTTTTTCGCCATACGATTACACAACAGATTTAACGTAAAAGTGTCGGATCCAGCTGACAATTAAAGTACGAAATAAGATACGCAAAAACGTGCATTCAATCGAAATATTACATAACAAATGCCATTTTAATCATGAACTGACGTCAGTCGGCGAATAAATGAAAACTAGAAAACATTGATTAGAGCTGTTTTATACTTGTTTGAGATCCCACAATAATATGAATCTACAATCGCAAAGTCGCCTTAGAAATCCAAACTCAGTAAAACGTTTCAAGTGTTTGAATGTTTTAATTACTAAGACATACATGGTCACTCAAAACGTTTGGAGGTTTACAGCAGTTATATAGATGATGATTTATAATCACCTTTGAAAACATTATCATAGCACGAGATTTCGATAATGAATGATGATAAACTCACTAATACATTTTCTTTATCCAAAAATGTGGCCTGTTGATCCAAAGTCACTTCAAGTAATGCAGATTCAGCCAAAAAGCACTTTAAAAAAATAAGAGAAGAGTCGTAGAAACAATCATAAGAGATATCTTCAGTATGTTTTGTGATAACTAGTAATAACGAGAACGACAAACTCAAAATGCCCAACCATAAAATTACAATAAATTCTGCAACCATACCCTTAAGCTACTTTTACTGGTTTAGACTTCAAAATCACTGAACAGTTTATGTAATCTAATCATATGAATGTTCAGAGGCCTGGCAAACATATCACTAATTAAAGCCTAATGTATGTCGCTGAGAGTCGAAAGTACAAATCATTCAGAGGATATGACCTTTCTAGCTGTCTTTAACAATCTATCAAGCTCGTTGGCCATAGATTATAATTATTTATAATAGGTAGGACAGTATGAAAAACCAGACAGGTTGACAGATAAATAATCAGTGGTAAATTACTGTTAGAATGAAGTTACAACTCAAAAGCTTGAAAGTAAGGCAATAAACAATGCAGGTCTGTTGAAGAGCGTTAAGACTAAAAGAAGGAAATTTAAGATTTTTAGGCACAATCATGATAGTGACTTTATCGATATTTGTGACAGAACGGTGTTATTCAACGGGTTATTAGCATTTTTAGTGGTGCTGCTTTCTTAGACAAGCAAGGACGAGCAAGCGAAGGAGGAAAGTCAAACTCACGTATATTCTGTAGCACCATCCAGGTAATCAAGGAATAACTACTCACAAGAACGCCCTCCTCAAGGTTTGAGAACACGCTTTAAGGTACATATGGTTTAAGTAAAAGTATTATTTCTGTTTATCTCCTTTTAAGAACAAAACATCCTTAAGTGAAATGAATAACAAGAAAGCAATTACTCCTTGAGTACACTAACTCATTCAATTTGTACATATGAAACTCCAATAAAACTGCATACTGATTTTTAATTGGTGTAAGAACTATTAATTTTTTCAATAAGCAGTCAATGTAGTTAAAAGAAAATCATGGAAGAAAGGATTGTAACAAATCTAATGATATCTAGAAATAGTTACAAAATAAAACAACAGGGGAAATATTAAAGGATCATATATGGTATTATTAACTAAAAGCTTTTTAAAGTTTTAAAGTTGATTTTATATCCACCAACGAAAATGGTGTTAAAATCTCAGAGAATAATTTAATTTATCGACCAAAGCTTCATGCACTTCTAAATGTGAGAATAATTTTGAGCAACGTTACTCCGATTTTAATAAAAATAGCTTAATTGACTTGTTCATAATTTAATAAGTGTATAATGACAACGGTTTTCAGTAGTTTTGTAGTGAACAAGAACACCAGTGGGGACAATCGGATGAATTACAGGACTTGTTATTAAAATTTAACAATCAAATAGTAAATATATAATTTGCAAAATGTCCATCAAATGTCTCATAATGACTCAAACTTGATTGTTCTTGCATTTTCATACAAATTGCATTCTGTTCTCATTCTTTGTTGTTCGATCCTCTTGTCTCTCTACTACAATACCTACTGTTTACGACTAACATCATATACTACTTATTTCAATATAAGTAGCACACACCACAGTTCATCTTTCAGGGTGATTTCATTTTTGTTTAAATTATCTACCCACAGGATACCCTGTCTTCATTCTTGGATATCTGAACAAGTATTCAGACACCTTGACATCAATATTTTGAAACTGTGGGAAGTTTATAAGAGCAATTTACATATTACATTAATTTGGGTTCGCTTGCTTTTGCTTGCTTGTATCTTTTCATTGTTGATTAGGAATGCAACTGATCAGTCACTTGTTGGCATATGTGCATCATGTACGGATTGCCTCGATATTGCTTTATTTCAGTAGCATTATAAGCAAAGAAGGATGGCGGCTAGCAGCGGAATCCAGGACGCGCTTTTCACCATATTTGAAACTCGTAAGCTGGATGTACCTGCATCCCAGAGTTGATGTTCACCCCGGGCCTCGAGCTAACAAGAGACTGATCGATTGAGATCCTAAACATCAATAGGAAAATAGAAGCGAACAATATCAAGTGAATTTAAACTTCACTCAATTGCACAAACAGGTGGCTATCACAACTCAGTAGCTAAGTGGATAACGCGATGGCGTATTAAAGGAATGGTACTGGGTTCGAATGCCGGAGTGAATATTAACTCCGGGATGCAGGTACATCCAGCTTACGAGTCACAAATAGGAAAAAACGCACATCCTGGATTCCACTACCAGCCACCATCCATCTTTGCTTACATTAATTTATTTATTATGATCATTACTATGAATTATCAGCTTACAAAGAATACAAAGTTAGACGTATCTATGTCATAATTATAGAGATTTGTGGACAAAAACGATTCTCTTCCAAAAATATGCAAACAGTAAACATACTATAACATAATTAATTAATAACAGATTTCTGAAAATAGCATTCATCTGATGTTAGGTTCAGTAATTAGATAGGTAGTGGACTGATTCAAACAGGGATATGTGGAACGTTATTCAGACAACTCACTTACAATAAGCTCTCTTATCATCAAATTTCTCACTATCCGGGCTTGAGTAGAATATGGTCTGTCCTTACTTGCCAGTCATATCAGGTAACTTTAAGATAATTATTTCTGTGTCAATATTTAGTCAGTAAAACATAGAATCTTGCCATGGATTATTCACAATTTTGACTATCACAAAACACTACTGATTGCAATATATATCCTAGTTGTTTTTAAGTATGTTATGGGAATTTCTACGTTGTTCATTGGACAGTAAACTATTGTTATTGTAAATTATACCAAACTTTTATCAAATACATTTGCGTGCGAGAATGAAGTTTCTGAGTTTGAGTCCCACATGTGGGTTCGAAGAGTTCCATGCTAAGACGAAACGACCGTCCAATGATTATAGCTTTTCAATGATGATCTAGCTTAGATCGATTTGTCAATTCAACTTTAAAATACTAAGTCCCCCATACCGAGAAAAAAAATTGTCATCAAAATTTATTAGTCAGCAATTTGATCAATGTAAGCAAATCAAATTGATCAAATAACGAATGTAAAAATATTTTCATTTACAGTGAGTTTTTAAACGTTTAAATAAAACAACATAAATGAATTGATTGTTTAAATTAAATAATATTTCATTTAGTGAAATTCATGAACCATTTGTAACAGTAACAGTAAGGCACACAAACGCTATTAGACAAATAAACATACTGTGTCGATTAAATATTTGGATGTTATTTATAATGATGTTATAATACTAACTATGGTAATCATTGTCAAAAAAGAAAATAGAGGACAATGGAATGATTACAATTTAATTTTATACAGTTGAATGAAAAATGTGATTGCTATCGAGTAGAATTTATTCTTTTCATTAGATACATTAACTTTGTTTAGTCAAAGTAAACCTGTCCACCTATTAAATCTGATCGTTTTGTAGAGAATACTTTGATTCAAAAAAAAAGGTTTTTATTACAGACTGACATCATTTGAAGAACCATTTGAAATATGATAATTCAATTCAATAATAATATGAACTCCTCAGTAATGTAAATATATGATAACTTATTTAGTTGAATTTAATGACCTATGAGATAAGTAGCGAATAGAAATCATTCAGTTCATATCTTCAAGTTTAGTCTGTTTCCAAAATAAAGTGATAATTGTTCGATGCCATAGATGATAGGTTTCCCATTCTTGAAATATATAGGAGAGTTCGTAATTTCTCTCGAGACGCTCTCAAACTCCCATGAACTTATATCTTCTGTTAAGGAAGTCCTACTCACTGAAATCCAGGTTGCTAAAGTAATGCTACGAAAGTGAATACTAGGAGTTTAAAGAAAAATGGTGAATACCGAGGGTTCATCAAGGTTTGCTGAAAAACTCTGATCTCGAACCACAAGGCTCCAGGAGTTCTGGTTGTCGATATTTTTGTGGTGTGTGTTAATGATGTCGACAGATACAAGTAGTATGCAATATAAATCGAAAGTGAAATACCTGGCAGCAGATTAAGAAGATCAAAGAACAGAGAGACAGAACAAAAAATGATTACTGTGGAAATGAAAGAACAGTCAAGTTTCAGACAAATGATTGACATTTTGCAAATTAAGTATTTACTGTGTGGTTCTCAGATTTTACTAAGACGTTCTGTAATTTTGTGTTCAAATACAGTTGGTTGTCCCCACTTATGTTCTCGTCCACTATATTTTCATATCTGAGGTTTATTTGTAACGAAAAATAACTACATATTATGTTAACTTTTTACAACCAAACTCAATTTTCATCAGTGATGTAACTACAAACGACAGTTTAAAATCTCAAGAGAAAATTCCATGTTTACATTTATTAACAGTCACTGAACATAGAAAGTCATACACGTTACAGTGATTTACATACATACATCAGTGAGTTTAGATTGATAACACGAATGGATTAATGTTAGACAACAATTTAAAACTTTAAAGAACTGGACGACAGTGTGCATGCACGGCCCCGCACACCGAACTCGAACCCTGAACCTTCGGTATCGCGCGTGAACGCCTAGTCTTTAGACCACAGAGCCGGCATCCAACGGTGTTAATGTCTAAAATTAACCAATCCACAATACTGTGCTTCTTATTACATTAATTTGTCTAAAAAGTTTTGTAATTGATAAAGTGCTAAAACATTGAATTGTGGTCAGAAATTTGACTACAAGTGTTTAAGTAAGCAATTATGAGAAATATGTGAAGTGTAGAAAAAACTTAATCATTCGAATAATTAGAGTAACTGTGAATATGACTAACATGTAAGTCACAATAAAGTGAACGTAATACGAAGGATAGTAAATACTTTTTATTAAAAATATTATCAGGAAGATAAGTAATATAATAAAAATTGTTTAAACCGTTTTTAAAAGCGCAGTGAAAAATTACCTGCAAAGCATAACGTTCTTGGAGCCGAGTAGTACAATTGACCATTGAACTTTGAATTGATTTCCAATCATCTTCAAGTGCAGCTAACCGTTGTCCCAACATAATATGTGGTGTGTCATAGTAACCTTTAAGCAGTTGTCTCCCAGTATCAAATAGTTGATTTGCTTCATTTTCATAGTCTTTGATTTCTTGAGCACTTTGTTCTATAACTGTTAGACGATTTTCAGTTTCCTGAAAATGTTTTATAAATAATTTTTACACACTATATATCAAAAAAGATTAGTTTTCAAATTTAGTATCATTTCCTGATAATACGTTGTGATCTAATTTAAAAATATAGGTAGTATTAGTTAAAATATATTCATCAACCGACATAATATATTCACTGGCAAATAGAATTTGACGATACAAACATTTGGATACGCTACGCGGATGAACCCTAAGTTATCCCGAAGAGAAAGCAACTCGGAAATACTCATAAATTGAGTCATGACATCTTTGATTACACGGAACAATGTGAAGGATCTCTTCACTTGTACATAAAGAATAGCTAAATATCATTAAAATAATACGACATGTTATCACTGATGTCAATATATAGTATTAGAAAATTATAGCAATGTCAGAGTATCGCTGAAAACATGACATTCAGGTTAATTAAAAACCACATCAAATCAGATCTGAACTATCAACCCATTCGATACATGTCAATGAATAACGTGATCAAAAACCAAAGGAACAAAATAATCAACTTGGATACAAAGGAAAACGGAGACAATCGAACTGATGTAGATTATCAATCATAAAAAAGTCCACCAGAATAAGTTGACAAAAGGCTTGTGGAGCAAGTATGAAGCTCACTTTTATATAAAATAAGCGTTGATAATTTTGTTCAGAAAGACAGAGAAAGCTCTATAATTAAACCATCTAGTTCAGTGAACTCAAAAACACCAAAAGCATTTGTACAACTATGAACAAATATTCTTCGTCTGTATGTTAATTCCAAATACTCTAATAACAGAAATATTCCCGTAAACAAATTTAATGTCTCTAATTAATAAATAGTGTTCATACCAATTAAAAGTTATCTGTTGCAAACATCGCGTTCAGTAATGAACCTTTGACTAATTAGTAACTCTTTTGATTATAGTTTCATATTAAACTATCTGACATATTTGATATACTCAAATTAAGTAAAACAAATATCCATAATTTAACTAACAAATAATAACAAAGAATTAATTGAAAAAATATTTTCTACAATCGTACTTATTATCTGATAACGAATAATATAATGTATTAATTGTATTTAATATCTGCTATCAAATCAATTTACTGAACTATGACAATATATATGTTAGTTGAAATGTGTTTCATGCTCATTTTAAGTTATTATTCAACTGGTTAGACCAATAAATAAACAGAAAATTAATAGACCATTTATTCAAACTATAAACAAACGTCCAGTAAGCAGGTTATTTCCATATTTTTTATACGAACAAATCGATAGACAAGTGGATAACATATAAGTCGACCTATTAATTAAATGACTTTTATGCATTTACTGAACTTTTGAACGTATTACTTGGAAAGAAACGGAAGACCTATCATATATAGAGGAAATTATACTGAAATACAACTGAATTGGAAATACAAATTGTTCCGGACCATATAAATCAGTTAACGCATTTATAAATAGTAATTTGCCCATTCTCGGTTAACTGTGCTCTGAATAGCTTAGTTTACAAACAATTCAATGTTGATAGGATATAACTAGATACATCACTTTAAGATTGTATTACTAACACTCACATTGTTCACTTTTTATCTGAACAGGCAGTTTTTCAAAAAATATAGTATTGAACTATGGTAGTGTTGTGGTGGTTGAAAATGGTTACCAACTGTAAACATGTAATGGAGCCTACAATAGTGGACAGAGCTTTACCATCACAATTTACAACCGCTTAGTGTAACGGTTCCATCGTACTAGCGATTACCTTCAAAATCTCTTTGGTTAACACAAGGAACTTCACACTTTAAGAGCTAATGAACTTCTGTGAAATCAGTTGCATCTATGACAAATTAGGATAGTGTGCTGACTGAGACACTATAATATAACTTACAATGAACGTTTTTAGGAGATTTCAACAAAAATTGTGCAGGTGCATTCTTAACATGATGAAAAACTAACCATTAATCTGAATTTCAGTGATTTTTATTTTGGTATTGATTCGTTAACACGAACCACTTCTATCTACATTTAAAGTAAATATTTAATACATGTAATAATGTAACCTCTAGTTGAGGACAAACAGCAAGTGCAATTATGTATATATTACGTTAACTTCATGGATGAAATCTTTCAAAACTAGTGAAATTGTTTTTATAAATAAACTTACCTGTAAATCACTTGGAAATTCACGGACAAATACATCAGTTTTTAGTTTTCTCATCCAATCTTGAAATGAATCAAGTTTTTCAAGAAAACGACTCACTTGACCTTCAGTAGATATTCGATTAACTCTCTGTTTAAGTGCTTCTTTTAAATTAAGCCACTGCTGTGTAAGTTTCATATGTTCTTTCATTAAATAATCCGCTCTTCGTTTAGACTTTAACTTTATATCTTGTTCATCATATGCAATTTCTTGTTGTTCTGTCATACCAAGTAATTCTCCTATACGTTCACCAATATTTTGAACTCGTGCTTCAATTGCTTTTAAATCTCCTTGTAAATTAAATAAACGTCTTCTTAATTCTACCAAACCAGTTAAACTATTAGCATCAATGGAATCTGTTGAAAATAAAACTGCTTCTTTTTCTGTAATCCATTCAGATGTATATTTACATTCAATGAATAAATTAATATAAAATGATTCTTCAACTATTCTGTCTCTATGAGATTCAACTATATCAGCGATTCTATTCCAAGCCGAATTTAAATGATCTTGAACATTGATAACTTTTTCAATTGTCATTTCTTTATTAACTAATGACTGGTCATCTCTTTTTGGTTCATTTAAAAAATTAGCAATCATCATGTTTACAGTAGACACCTAAATATTTATTACACATAAAGAATATTTATTGAAGAAAAGAACTTCAAGAACTCCAATATGTCAGTCCTAATAATTTGTATATTCTATTTATCAATTACATTACAGTATCAGTTATGAAAAAAAACAGTTAAGATTAATTCATTAGCAGCTAATGAGAAACCACAAAATATAGTGGATTCATATGATTCGGCCTTAGTTATTGTTCTGATTTTATTTAAATTCATAAAGGCAAGTAATTGTATGTAAATTTATAATATTTAAAAATATTGTACAGTATTTGTACCGTTTTAAAATTAAAATTTACAGAGCGGTAAAACACTGTGTTTTGGGTACTTTTTTGAAACTCAGTAATTCTTTATTTTCTGTAGGAATATCTCGTTTTGACTTTCAATCAATTGTGATTACATCTCAGTCCTACAGGAGGTTAGTCGCGGCTCGGATAGCTCAGTGGTAACTTCTCTGCCTGTGAAGCTGGGTGACGTGAGATCGAATCCGCCAGGAAGCACCAGTTCCCTCAAGATTACAGGCACACCTTGCTGACGAATGCCAAGTAGCACGAAACCCGGGTCCAGGGTTTCCTGTTGACTACCTCCAACCACCATCTAAATCTCAATACATAGTGCCCGCAGTGTCGAGTCACCTAGACTGGTGGCCACATTGCAACATGATCGATAGCATTCGATCTGCACTAATAAGGACAAGACAAGCATGACATTGATCACCACCCAGTGATCAATCAATTGCGACTATATCATTTAATTTGGAAATTGGAAACTATCAAAAGAAAGGTACTTGAATTGTATTTGATGGAACCTAACGTAGTACACTAGCTTCTAGTCTGTCTACCGCATCGTCACATAAATTGAATTGGTACATTAATATCAAATGGATTAATAATTTTTCGAAAGTTATCAACCTAATAATATGGGTTTATAATGTACTTTAAACAATATGAAATAAGGTGAACACTCAGTTGATTAGTAACAAATTAGTCACCATATATGACATTATATGTATTCACCTTAGGCCTAGAAGACTTTTTAATCGACTATTTACAAAGGTGATCAACATGCTCTGGGTTGATACAGTATACAAACACGCATTTACTTTCATTCGACTTTATAAGTATTAAAGTCACCTTGTTATTTTATCTTATGTCTAATATAGAGTATAATATACTATTCCCTTGGTCGTTTGTCGTTGCGGAATCGGGACGCTTTTCCAAAGAGATCATAATTTTTAATTCTTTTTCTATTACTTGTATACCAAGCTATCATAATTTTCAGTTTGATCCTGTTATTCTTAACTCGACCTTAATGTTCATAACTATTTAATCACAGTGTTAAAATCCCACTTTCTCTCATTTCCATTAGTTTGCCCACTATATTGTTCTTATTTTTCTAAAATACATGAGACGATCCAGTATTGGTGTTATATATTGTTTGTCTTTCTATGACAGCTTTTCAGCCAAAACACAAAACTGACATAAAGTACCGCGCCAAGACTACTTCGATCCTTTATAGAGGAGGTGAACAAACCGCATCATGCGGGCTAAATCCAACCCATTATCAAAGTGCGCAACCTGAAAAATCATTTAAGGGAGTAAAATCGGTCATAAGTCAGGTCATTTGGACTTGTTTTAAGGAAAAGTGATATTCAATATTACAGTGTCATGGCGTGGTGTTTGAAGTCAAACTCAAACAACAATCTAAGAAACTTAAGGAACGTAGCAAACTTCGTTTTGCAACGTTAGACTCACAAACGTTTTTTTCGAGAAGTTTGTTTACCTTTGTTCTAAAGCCTGGTAAAACGCTAATATTTTGCGCTGAATGTCATGGTGAACATCCATTACATTATCACTTATCTAGCTAATAGTGTGCAATAAACGCTAGTCTAATCTACTTGGAACTTCTCAACATAACCGTTTGGTGCTACAAACAAATTGATAATAAGGCAACAAACGATTTGTAAATTTACTTACTTGCTCAGCTGCTGTACTCATCTGTTCCTCTAAGTCAGAAAATCTATTTTTAACAATTTCTAATCTTTGAATTAACCCTTGGTTAGCACTGACATCACCTTCTATAATCTTAGAAAACTCTTCTTCTTTTAGGTCGTCCATTATTAACAGCTGGATATAAACTTCCTTCTCAATAATCCAGTTATACGTCGATGAAGCCATTTGGAACAACTGATGAAGTGATACAGCGTCTAAGAGTAGAAACTGTGTCTGACGAATGCATCCACTAAGAACAGAAAACGAATCTAAGAGACCTTTCATTCTATTCTTTATTAAATTTCCAACCTCATTCTTAGATTTTATGGTAGCCTCTAAAATAGGTTCTGTTGATTTAACATCTTTATCAGCTACAGTATACAAATAGTCTATATATCCTAATAACTCGTCTGCTTGAAGCTTCATTTGATCAATAGTAGTCTGGAAGTTATTCACACTGGAAATAGTTTCCTGATGTTGTTTCGTTAATTTTTCTATAGTATAAATACTGTCAGTTTGCATAGCAAGACGCATTGCACTGGAACTTAGTTCATATTTTTCCGATATCCATGCATCTGCATCATCACAACTTAACACAAAAGAACGTAAATCTTTCATAAATAATAAATTAGTTTTACGTTTAGCCATTAGATTTATGAGTTGTTCCCACGCTTTTTCAACTTTTGTCACCTTTTCTTTTAGATTTTCATAATTTGGACATTCTTCTTCAATTAAACTGGAAGTTCGTTCAAATAGTCGAGTGATAATCAATCTTTGTGTTTCTAATTCAGATTCAGCCGCTTTATGTCGCCGGAAGAAAACATCAATATTACCATTGTCAACAAACGCTTCACTTTTCTGCAAAAATGATATACGTTCTTCTATTGAAATTAATTGTTCATCTAACTCATATTCTGAACCGTGATAAAGTTTTAGAAATTCTATAGACCGTTGCTTAGATTCAATCAATTGTACAAGTTGTGAATAAGCATCTTTTAACAGATTATTTTGTTTTTTTATTTCAATTGCTACAGTATTAGTTTTAAAACCAAACAACTCTGGAGTGTATTCAATTTGAGATTCTAATTCAAAAAGGGTTGATATATTTCGATGAATAGAACGTATATCTGTTTCTATTAATTCATATTGTTTTAAACGTTCTTCAATAGCAGCTAAGTGATTATCAAATTCATCGATTTGTAATTTAGATAGAAGAGATTGTATAGATCCCATGAGATAATCTGTTTCTGAAAACTTTTTAAACAGGTTTTTTCTATTTTCAAGAATTTTGTATCTTTCATTCATTACTTTTAAGAGTCGATCCCACATATTTTGAATTTCTTTTTGGACTTTTAAAACAATATCTCGCTTAAAAAAATCATTACCAATGAGTTCATCAGCAATCTGTTGAATTGTCTGTATTCTGTCAAAATATGCATAAATATCAGCTTTTAGAGCTTCATACTTTTTTAATGACGCTTCAGTCATTGCTAAATTCTTATCATCATCACATACCTCAACCAATTTAAAATTATCATTAATCCAAGCTTTTCTCAAATTTGCTTTCTTTTCGTAGCGTGAAAACAAATGCAGTAGACGTTTTTGCTTGTCTAGCGCTTCTCTCAAAGCTATTTCACGTCCATACTCAGCTTTCTCTAAGGCATTCCATGCACGATTGAGTTGAGATATTTGTGCCTCTGTGGATGGTATATAATTTCTAAGTCCTAGTGTTCTCATTTTTGTACGCGTTAAAAGAAAATGAGCTTCAAGTTCACCTTTTTCATTGAACTTGTCCGACTTTTCTTGAAGACGATATTCTTTAAACGAAACCATAATCTGTTGAATTTCCTCAACTTGATTGGGAAAACGACGATCATTCAACCACAATACTGTTTTGGCAATCCATGACAAAAGATCTGAAGCACGTCTTTCGTACCAATCGAAAGAATTCTGGAGATCACGCCAGTAAGTTATAAATTTTTCCAAACGACGAGCACGAACAGTTTCCGACTTTATTTTTGAAAAGTAATGATAATATGTAGCAACATAAGTAACAATAGATTTTTCATCTGGCTGTTGGACATATATGTCTTCAGGATCGAAGAGCCTAGATATGCCCAAATTCTTTTCCGCAACTATAAAGGCAGACTCCAAATTTTGCAGTGGTGTGTTTACTGACAATTCATTAAAATTGACCAGATCTGGACGATGCCTGTGGATAAGAGCGTTGAAAGCCAAGCCATCACGCCAACTAGTTGTAAAATTTTGCACGTCAACGTTCCGATAACCTGCAGTCTTCAGCTGGCACCATAATAATAAAGCTTCCTTTGAATATCGTTGCACATCACTTTTGATTCCTAGAGGATCGACTTTCTCCAAAAATATGATATCTTGAATTTGAAAACGAAGAATAATCATCCATAATAGTCCAAGTGTAATCCTTGCATTTCCATCAACAATATCATGTGCCCCTATATTTTCTAAATGAACTCCGAAATTGCTTAAAAAGAAGAGGGATTTGTCGATGTTTTCTAAACAATGAATCCTCATTCTCCCTAAGGTCGGACTAGGCTGTAAACGAAACAAGGGGACGATAAAGGAAAATGATCGCTGTGAATAAAAAACATACCATTTTAATTCCAGAAAGTATTTCTAATAGCTGTAATAAAATCTTTCCGTCACGTAAATCCAAAAAGAGGTCATATATTTCAATTCCTACCCTCCTCAGAAATGTATTTGCCCACTTTGTAAATGTCTTTTTTTGAACCGTCTGCCTCTCCGCTTCACATAACTTAGCATCATGAAATCAGATTTACCTGCTAATGTATGTATCCGTGTTCTTTCATAAACACGAGAAGTAACCAAACTTCTATCATATTCAGAAGAACTTCCTGGACTAAAACCATCATAAGACGTCCCAACATTATAATAATCACGAAATATTTGTGGTCTTAATCTCTCCACATGCATGAGTGGTGGATAATATTCAGTTCCAACACAAAACGTTTAGGAAAACTGAAATCAAATAAAACAGAGTTTAATAAAGCACCATTTGTTGTCAATAAAACCAAACACTGATTTGAGATGTGAGTGGTCATATCTCTTTTCAAAAATTAGAACTAGTCAAAAACCGGTAGCACTGTCTTAATAATGCACTTAAGTACACATTATCTAAATAATTTAAGATGATTGTAAGAGCAAAAAGATATAATATTATGTGGTTAATATAAAATATAGAAAGACGATTATCAATACAACGACAATGAATATGGACTTAGAAATGCTAAAATTACGATTATTTATTTCCGTATAGTGAGTTCAGCTGGAAGAATTTTTCATAATCTCTCTCGATCATTTATATCTCAAGTGAAATAATTTGCAGGTCGTCGATATTACAGATTAACTTCATGTCAAAATATTGAAAATAAACTACGCAAATCAGTCAATTTGTCCTTCTTTTATCTAAATTAACTTTCAATCTCAAACAAAGAGGATCGTTTTTCGTATCTTTAGTTTTTCAGTTAGCTAGTCATATTGTGTTTGAGTAATACCTTATGATAAGTTTCGTCAGAGCTCACCCAGCCAGTGATTTTTCGAAGCTTAAACCTAGAATATCATAGATATTAAGAACATGCCATTAGATCAGATTTTACTAATTGTACTCTGACAACTATTATATCGCTCACACGTATTTATCTTGAACCTGCCATTTAGTTAATAGGATACAGTAATAAACTTCATACACTTTGTACCTTATGTACGAGACTGTATTGATTTTGAATTTAATCCTCCAAGACAATTAAATTTTTTCAGAAATATATAAGAACTACTGCTTAGGTTTGAAATTATAGTTCCAAGTAAATTAACCACCGAGTAAACAATTTCTGATTACAAAACGTCTATCTTCTATCAGTACACTGTTCAGTAATTGGCACCAACAACTCCTATTTATAAGTTGTAATAAAATTAATTTATTTGATGATACGTTGTGTTTGCAATGTAAATACAGTTGGATCTTGCTAAACATCTAGACGAAAGCATGCTAGTAGAAACATTTTCAGACTAGAACATGAACAGTAGGAATAGAAATAAAACGTGGAATGTATAATATTACTTTAGGAACCGTGTAAATGAAATTTCATTACCACGGGTTCTACAGGTCACGAAACAGTTTTAACTTAAAGCAATATAGAATTTCATTACTTATTAAAATAAATATCTAACGTTCAAACATGTTTAAATCTACACTTTTGTCTTTCAATGTGATGAGCTAAAAGCTCAGAAATATTCAAATAATAAAAGTATACATAGTGGTATTAGTTTGGTACCATATTTAACGTAAGGTTATAAAGCTTGGCTTGACCGTTTTTCAAAGTCAAGAGTACGGCATATTATTGAACAACACCGTTAAAATGAACAACATTATCTAAAGTTCAAAAACATTTACCAAATTCACGCTTTACAAGACAATTAAATTCATATTACTAACAAGCCTCTGGCAACAATAACATCATTATATAAAATTATCAAAAATTCACAACTTGAAGGGTTTGAATATTTCATCAATTACGTAGGAAGCATAAATGTGTGTGGAAAAAACACTTCGAAAGTGTGTGAAATACGAAAACTTACTCCCAGTTTTCAAGTGGTTTGAATAAAGCTAACAATAACACTGAATTGACTATGGTTTTAAAAATTTCTCCGATTATAGATGACAGAAAAAATTTTGGTTGTTGAAAAGTACTCAAAAGACATCACATTGTGATGGAGATAACTGACCAATAAATCAAACGTACATCTGCAGTAACTTTTCAGGACATTCTCATACTATGTTCATGCCTACATTAAAATGTTGAGTTACGATAACCCAATAATTAATTTATGGAACCTCTTAAACGAAGTGAGCACAGAATATGTGAGCAGAAACAAACAAAAATATTGCAGACTACTGATTTGGATTTTTCCGTATTAATTATTCAGGTATGACAATCAAAAAACAAACCTGATGATAATAAGTGGATCTACAGAAAGTTAATTGCAAAACGCAAGCTCTACTCCATCTGCTTCATATAGAATAAATTATAAATGCGACTGTATAGGTTGTATCTTGAGCAATTCATTTAACCTACTTAAACAAAACACCAGTAAAAAATCTTTTGAACTTCAGGTACGAAATATTTTTATTGTTAGCATTTTGTTCATAGTTTTAAAAGGAACGGTCATTAAATTCATGAATAATTTTAGGTAGATATCTCTCCGTCGTACGACATATGTAAATAACATTCCTCGTCTACTATCAACATCGGTTTTGTTATATTTTGATGATCTCAAGGTATGGAGAGCGACATAAAATAAAGGTGGTGGCCAAGAGCCTAAAGATGACATGGAGAAGTTTTTGAATGATCTCAAACTTGGCAATTGCTGATATAGTTATAGATTCATGCACAATGAATGACAGTGAGCTACTCATTGTCCAGACACACAATGATTTGAGAGGCATCGTTATACAAGAACCAAAGACTACTGCACACTGTCATGCGGTAACCGTTAAAGGTTTGGAACCCTATGGTCAGTTCGATGGGTCTTTAGCCATATCTATGCTAAAAACGTATTGGCTGTGTATGAAGTATTCGTGAGTCGCGAACTTGTGCACTTCAAATAAGCAGCTATCTCCTCCTTTAAAAAATGACAGTGAGCTTTTAGAAGAGGTTTAAAGGACCTAAAACTACGCTGATTTTGCAAATAGTAAAGCTCACGTATGACGCTCGATGAGCTAAATCAAACATAATCCCAACGTTATGTCGGAGAACTAGGAGTAACCTGATTGCAGTTTTCAAATTACTTAGTGACAAAATTGCATCTGATATGCCCTCAATTTTCTTGTCTTCCAAAACAGAAAATTTACGAGAACACTAAAAATGATTCACAAGCCCAAAACAAACTAATTACCAGCTGATTATTGACTTTCCTGAAGAAACATAAACGAATGGAATTCATTACTTTGTAGTGACCTTTTTTATCAAGGGACCATGATTGGTTGAATGGAAACAAATATTATCATAACCAATTGTACCGTGGATTGTTTTACTCTATTTGTATGTTTAGCTGTACCAAAACGCATATATTCTTCTGTTGATTGTGACCTTGAACGAATTCAGTAACCACATTTGTAACTTGGCACGATTTCGGCATTCTTTCGATGCCACGAGATTGCCAACAAATACATCTCGACTACAGCCATTAACTGCGTTCTGGAATTTGGCTTACGGGAAATCTTATCGGTTAACTGACACGTAGTCTTCCTGTAGTGGTGATCATATTCCACTACAAACTCACCATGTGATTGAAGCTCCATCGCTCGGCATTTTTAAAAGGAAGCTGGACCAACTGAGAGACTATTTTTACCAGGACTGACATAGGACACGAAGCCTCCTGTCCGTTCCAAATCGGACCTGAAAGTTTATATTTCAATAATTGCGTCATTATTTTATCTGCACCTTTGGCACAGCGGATCGGAATCTCGTCTTTATAAAAGTTATTTTCTAGTTGAGACTATTTCCTCAATACTGTTGGGAGAGAAAATGTAGTGCAACAAACTATTATTCTGAAATATTCTATCCAAATCTGTAGCTTAATTTTGTTTCCATGTACCGCATATCAAAACTATACACAGACATACGTAAAACGATTTGATTTCCACAACAAAATCTCTTACTTACTATGGTTAGAATCAGATACGCTGCTGAGAAATGCATCTAGCCAGCCTCCAATAAATATATTTAACCAAATTTCCAACAAAATATGGTCTACTATTTACATGTACATATTAAATAACTATCGCAAAAATAAGTACAAAACCCCCTGACTAGCAGTGGACAGGTTTAAGCTATTTCGACCAAATGTTCCATTTACTCTAACATTATAAGTTCAAATCTGTATACATTCGTTACTCATGACCCTAAACATTTAGCTTTAGGAACTTAAGTCCAACTAATACAATGGACTTCACCTACAGCACAAGGTTCATTTACAGAACTCCAGAAAAACCAGTCAAAATATGAATAAAAAATACTAATCTCACTAAAAGACAACTTTGACTGAGGGTTTTTTTCACGCCCGATGAGCAGCTACAACTTTTGGTACCTACGCCCTCTTAAAACTGATGAACATATACAAATTTACATGTAATTTTCGAAAACATTTACTCTATCACGTTGGAGAAATTATTCCATCAAATTAATTCAGCATACGCCAAAATATATGAAAGCTTTTGCCTCCTCAACATTTCAAAATAAATTGTTTGACAAGATGATAATATAAGTACTTACTTACTTACACCTGTTACTCCTCGTGAAGGAGCATAGGTCGCTCACCAGCATTCTCCATCCAACCCTGTCCTGAGCAATCCTTTCCAGCTCCTTCCAGTTGTAATTCATCCTTTTCATATCTGCTTCTATTATCCGACGTAATGTGTTCTTTGGCCTTCCTCTTTTCCGCTTCCCTTCAGGATTCCAAGTTAGAGCTTGCCTCGTGATGCAGTTTGACGATTTGCGTAATGTATGTCCTATCCATTTCCATCGTCTTTTCCTAATTTCCTCTTCAGTTGGAAGTTGGTTTGTTCTCTCCCACAGAAGGCTATTGTTGATGGTATCCGGCCAATGGATGTTGAGTATCTTGCGTAGACAGCTATTTATAAATACTTGTACTTTCTTGATTGTGGTTGTTGTAGTTCTCCAAGTTTCAGCTCCATACAGTAGAATTGCCTTGACATTCGTATTGAAGATTCTCACTTTGATATTGGTTGAAAGTTGTTTTGAGTTCCATATGTTCTTCAATTGTAGGAATGCGGCCCTTGCTTTGCCAATCCTCGCCTTTACGTCTGCATCCGAACCTCCTTGTTCATCGATGATGCTTCCCAGGTATGTGAAGGATTCTACATCTTCTAGAGTTTTGCCATCAAGGGTGATTGGATTGCTGTTCTCCGCTTTGAATTTGAGGACCTTGGTTTTCCCTTTGTGTATACTGAGGCCTACTGATGCAGAGACTGCTGCTACACTGGCTGTTTTCATCTGCATCTGTTCGTGTGTACGTGATAGGAGGGCTAGGTCATCTGAGAAGTCCAGATCGTCTAATTGATTCTGAGCTGTCCATTGTATTCCGTGTTTTCCTTCAGATGTTGAGGTCTTCATAATCCAGTCGACCACCAGAAGAAAGAGGAAGGGAGAGAGTAAACAGCCTTGTCTGACTCCGGTCCTTACTTGGAATGCATCCGTCAGCTGTCCTCCATGCACTACTTTGCACTGTAGTCCGTCGTATGAGTTCCGGATAATATTGACAATCTTCTCAGGAACTCCGTAGTGTCGAAGAAGTTTCCATAATGTCCTCCTATCTACACTGTCGTATGCCTTTTCATAATCAATGAAGTTGATGTATAGTGACGAGTTCCACTCAACTGATTGTTCGACGATGATCCGTAGTGTTGCAATTTGGTCTGTGCACGACCGATCCTTACGGAATCCAGCTTGTTGATCTCGAAGTTGGGCATCTACTGCATCCTTCATCCGGTTCAGCAACACTCTGTTGAAGACTTTTCTTGGTATTGACAGTAGTGTAATGCCTCTGTTGTTTTCACATTTGCTCAGATCTCCTTTCTTTGGAATCTTGATGAGGTGTCCTTCTTTCCAGTCCATCGGCACTTGTTCCTCCTCCCAAACCTTTTTGAATAGAGGGTAAAGCATGCTTGTGGTTACTTCGACGTCTGATTTCAGTGCTTCAGCTGGTATGTTGTCGGGTCCTGCTGCTTTCCCGTTCTTGATTTGTCTGACGGCCATTCTAATTTCTTCCGTCGTTGGTGGGTTGACATCTATAGGAAGATCTGTGTGTGCTGCTTCGATGTTCGGTGGATTCATTGGAGCCGGCCTATTCAGGAGTTCCTCGAAGTATTCTACCCATCTGTTTCGCTGTTGTTGAATTTCAGTGATTGGCTTGCCTTCTTTGTCTTTGACCGGCCTCTCTGGTTTACTGTATTTCCCTGATAGTTTCTTCTTTGTATCGTAGAGCTGTTTCATATTTCCTTCTCTAGCAGCTTTTTCTGCCGTCGTTGCTAATTCTTCCACGTATTTCTTCCTGTCGGCTCTAATGCTCCTCTTCATTTGCTTGTTTGCTTCTATGTATTCAGCTTGTGCTTGGACTTTCTCTGCTCGTGTTCGGCTGTTGTTAATTGCTGTCTTCTTGTTCTTCCTTTCTTTGATCTTATCCAGTGTTTCTATAGAGATCCATTCCTTATGATGGTGTTTCTTTAGGTCAATGTTTCTTTGATGCCTTTCCAGTTGTCCTCCATAGTAGTTTCTTCTTCCTTCAGTAGATCTTGAAAGGCTTGGAACCTGTTGTTGAGAGCTATCTTGAATTCATTGAGTTTGACAGTATCTCGAAGGAGGGCTGTATTGAACATTTGTAGTGCTGTTTGTCCACTTGTCCAGTTCTTTTTTAGCTTCAATTTTAAATTGGCTACAACTAGGTGGTGATCTGAAGCTACGTCAGCACCTCTCCTGGTTCTCACATCTTCCATTGTCCTTCGGAATTTTTTGTTGATGCAAATATGATCTATCTGGTTCTCTGTAGTGTGGTCCGGTGAGATCCATGTAGCCTTGTGTTCCTCCTATGACTAATTTGTTGAATGCACACAAATTTGCAAATCTTTCTCCATTTTCGTTTCTTTCTCCCAGTCCATGTCGTCCCATAATATCTTCATATCCAGTGTTGTCTATTCCGACCTTGGCATTTAGATCTCCCATCAGAATGGTGAGGTCTTTTCTTGAGCATTTCTCTATGATTGACTGCAGCCGCTCGTAGAATTGATCTTTAATGTCGTCGTTGCTATCATTGGTGGGTGCATAACATTGGATAATATTCATTAAGATCCCCTCCTTCTTTGTTTTGAATGATGCTTTGCTGATTCTGGATCCGTGGGATTCCCATCCTACAAGTGCATTTTGTGCTACTTTGGACAGCATTAGAGCAACTCCCTGAGTGTGTGGAGCATTTTCCTCTTCGTGACCGGAGTATAGCAGCATCTCTCCCGTAGCTAGCCTTTTCTGTCC